CGATATCATGCTAAACCACGCCACCCGGGCATTTGTTCTTTCACTCACGTCCCTCATCTCTGATTCTCTGAGCATCCATTGAAAACAGAAACAACGAATAAATTACAGCAGAAACACAGTACAGGAAACGTTGAATGCATTCCTATTAGGTATGTAAACCGTACCTGCCCTTGAGATAAAGTAGATTCTCATGGATGGCGTCAACTGCTCCTTCGAGTTTCCGCAGCTCAAGCTCAAGACCCTGCATATGAGGGAAATGTCAGTCCATGTTTGTGGTGGCTATTCAATATCCGAAACACTTGAGTATGTTTTAGTTTAGTCGTGTTAATGAAATTTCACGTACTGTTCCATGTTCAAGAAAGTCTAACAAATAAGATGTATCTAACCTTGAGGAGTCAATGCTAGAACCGACAAGGATTGTACTAGCTTATATGCCATGGCAAGGTTATAATCTTAGGTCCAACATATATGCGACATAAAGTACGTATAGTAGAGAGGGCAGAATAAAATGTAAAAAAGGTCTACAGACAGAACTAGATCATTTGGTGAATCACTGTAAGTATAATAATAACTGTATGATGCATCAACACGCAGCTAATGGTCTTGGAGAATGCAGAGGGTACAAGACATAACATGGCACCAAGCCTTGAACAATACACAATTTTCATATATTCCAATCTTTTTAATCCTAAGGACTCATTAAATATAGGCTCCGGTTAGAAAATGTGATTATGACATAGAGGCTCAGGGCAAAAAAGGGGTAGATGATGACTTGGAAAAAGACTTTAAGAAAAGACATGGAGTACTTGGTGTTAACGGAAGATTTGGTGCAAAACTGAGCGCGGTGGAGTTCTAGGATTCATAAGCCAGCCTCACTTAGTAGGATACAACTTTGTTGTTGTACTCATTAATCACAGGAGACCCATGAAACTTTAAAGACTTCTTAATAACAATTGATCTGCTAAAGACTCTGAATTAAAGTTGAATTATTTATTAATTATCATATTTTATATTCTGATTCTTGAACTACAATGGACATTTCTCCTTAGACCGAAAAAGCCTTAATCTTCAAAAAAGCAAAAAAGTCATGCCACCTCATCAAAACTAGGTGAGTATATGCTGATGCAATCAAAGAAAATATTTAAAGAATTGTATAACGTTTGTAATTAACTCAACCACCACATTGACCTCCATGACTCTAAACTTGGAGTGAAGGCTGTGCACTTGACTTGATGAATCCATATCAGGATTATTAATTGGCAGAAAGCGGATATGCAGTCACATGTACCAACAACTTTCAACTCACCAATTCATTTCTAATATTATTTCAGACACCAAATTTTAAAAACCTTTAAACATGAAACTCAGTTCATGTCTATGTCCCTGGGATAAATAAATGTTACCATCAATAAAAACAATAGAAAAAATGAACGAAAAATATTATGGCAGTGCTAACCTCAATTTTCTCTTTTCTTGCTACTGATTCCCAATCCTTAGCTGCAATTCCAGTTTTCCAGTCAAGGTTGACACTAACCCCTCCACCTCCAGGATTGTTACCATCAACCCAAAAACATGCCAAGTAATTTCCAGCCTCATGAGTTGTGAATGCAAACTGACCGTGTGTTGCGTTCGCATTTTGATGAAGATTGTTCCCATATGGTGATGTTACCTAAAGAAGAGCAAGAAGTAATATGAAAAGTGCTAAGAAAGCAAAAGGAAATCCAAGACAAAAAGATAATTATCCAAGACGGTAGAGCACTAGTCAATGTATTAGAACTCCATTTGCAATTTTCCAGTACCATTTCCTTTAAGATCCAAAGGAGTTATCATAATGAAAAATATAATGCTCAATTAACTTGAAACAGAAACTTCGTTCATAAATTCACTTAAATTCTCCTCAGACATCAAGTTACAAGTTTGAATCCTGTCCAAGTATTTGAGGTTGTAGAAATGATATACCTTTTTTCCAAGTGCTACAATTAGAACTTTAGAGAAGAAAATCAAATAATGTTAATATCGAAAAATTCCCAATACAGAGGACAGACCACCTTTGCATTGACTAGAAACTAGTAAGATGACCAATTGTCTGATTGTTAACAGACGTAATTATTGCTATACCCCAGCTAAAGGTGTCAATGTGACTCTGCAGCCCAACATGCAGATCAAATCAACGGCCTTGAAAGTGAAAGAAACCCCATTTTGTTCTAGAGCCTAGAAACTCCTTGATAAAGGGCTGAGTCTGACCACATTAAAAATAGGTTTGACAAGCAACAAAACATCAAAGTAGAACCCAAGATCCCGTCGAATACTAAAGGAAGGAACGAAGAAATTGTGTAACTTGAAGGAAGAAGATACATTACTCATCAAGGAAACTCCTTTCCAATCCCACAAAATGGTAGGATTCGACAGGTTAAGTTTCCTTCATGTCTAATCCCTTCTAATCCCCTCCCATTCACCTTAAACTTCCAGATAGCATGAATTTTACGAGTAATCCAATCCTAGGCACCGAATGAGTCCATAATATACAAGTCAAATGACCGAGAACCCATCAAAGTAATTATTTTTATTTATTTTGTAAAAAAAACTCATAATTTGTTTCTCCTTTTGCAATTTACAGCAGGAGTTTCGTTTAATATGCTCTTAATTAAGAGGAGTTTAAGTCATACATGGAAAAATAGAGATCAACAAATTTTAGCAAGAAAGACATCCAAGCAGGATACAAAGATCCAAACTTTACATTTAAGATCCTCTTTGCTTCTTAAAATTTATCCAAACGGCAGAAAATCCAATAAACTAACTACTGGGTTTTCTGCTAATCTATGTATCTGCCTAATTGCAATAAAATTAAAAAAAATTAAAATCGATTACGAATTGAAGGAAGGGGAAAAAGGGAGGGGAATTGGAGCAGACCTTGGCGGAGATGGTGGGGGTTTGGGAATGATCATCCGGAATGACGACGTAATCGGCCAAAACGACGACGTTGTTCTGGATTTCATCCGAGACGCATTTCGTGCCGGAGGCAGGTAACGTCACCCAGATGGCTTGACCAGTCCGTGCCAAGCACAGGATCAACAAGATGGCAGCAGCGACCGAACTCCCACTCCAACTCCTCCTCGTCGCCATCGCAACTCCTCTGCTCTCTCTCTCCTCTCCGTTTCTCTCTCTTCTCTCTGTTTCTCCCCCAAACGACGACGTTGTGTGCTTCCTTGGTTTCCGAATCGGAGGAGATACCGATACCCAGCAACGGAAGATGGTTTTTCCTCTGCGTCGACTTTTTCACGCAGGAAGGAAGGAACTGTGTTTTGTGAATTCTCAGATCTGATGGCGACGACAGGGCCTGAGTTATGTGACTTGTCTTGGTTTGGGCCCAAGGCTGTTTTTTGGGCGTGGGAGACTCTGGCTTTTACGAACTGGAGGCCCATCTTCTTTGTTTTCATTCTCTTCTTCAAGCCTAATTATTGATTGATATTGCCCTGTTAATTACCGTCTAGTGATATTCTTTTGTATTTACAATCGAGAGGTATTAGATTCAACTTACATGGATGACAATGAAAAAGAATGTATTTTATTTCTGTTGAAAAAAATGAAGATGCTTTAGATCATTATATCCGATTGAAAATTCATTGCTCAACGAATTTGGAAGGAGAATTTTCAGTGAGACATACAAATCACAATTTAAACATGCGTTTATTTTATATTTATGTCAAATTGTGTTTGCTCAAAAAGAAAATGTCAAATTGTGATATGCAGCCAGACGAGTATGAATGCCTGGAAGAGCCCAACAGCATCCTTTAGGGAAAGCATAAACATACACCCTCGTTAAGTTTATCATGGACTCTTGTTTAATTCCAACCATTGCTTTCGTTTGATTAATCCATATCAATAACCAAAAACAAAAAAGAATACGTAAAAAGCTAAAAAGAGTGTGTAAAATCACATCCCTATTATTTAAAAGTACGTTTGTTTTACCTCACTAATTTTCACTATGTTGGACTTGACTACTTATTAGTGTAGACCGTGTTTGTTTTGAGTAGAAATTAAGTTTAATGGGATTAAAGGGAGCTTACGCAGGCTAATTCCCTCGCGAGAAGGTCTTAGCGAGACCCCCCAAGAACCCAAAATGATGTTGTTTCCCCCTCGCCAATTCCCCTTCCCCCTCCTCCTCTTTCTCCTCATTTTCTTCTATTTCTGCTCAATCAAGATTTGATTCACCTCGATCTGATCTGATTGATGCCCAATCATCCCATTCGACGTGTTCAAGTTCATCCACAAGAAGTAGGATTCTCTCTCCTCCTACTTTTATCCCCTCTTCTCACAAATTGCTTTTTGTCTTATTTTGGTTATTTAAAAATTAACATAAAATATTGACGTGACTTAACTATAACCATTCAAATAGGAGGGAAGAGAATGGGAGAGAATCCTACTCCAGGCCGCCTGAAGCTCAACGTCTCCAAAATCTCCCTCTTGGCAATTTTTTATAGGTTAGAGGCAAATTTCGAAGTTTAGTTCCATTGCAAAAGGGAAAAAAAAAATATTGGGTTTAAAACATTTTAGCCCGACACCTGGTTCGGCATTGTATGAAACACTTCATTATTTTTATCTTGTTTAGTTCAAGCCAAGCCAATTCAATCTAGCCTCTAAAATTAATTCGGTCCTAAATGTGTAACAAATGCACTTAGAATATTTTGGCCATGCTTGTCTCATCAGGAAAGGGATCATCTTCGGATCATTTCCTCCTAATTCTAGGGATCCATCAATCTGAGCTATAAAATTTGATCAAACAGTTAAAGTTATTATATTTTTTAAAATGAATCATTGTTTGTAACCGTTAAATCAAATTTGAATGATCAGATTAGTAGATCTCTAAGATTAAGAGAAAGGAATCTGAAGGTATCCTTTTCCGTCTCATCATGCACTTGACCTCACCGATGACTCCATGAGTTGACATAAAGTTGAAGGTTCCTATAGACCCCATCTACTTTTATATAAAAACATTTTAAGTGGCTAAAGTAGCCTCCCTCCATTATCTTACCCACCATGGACTAATCTTAAAGCTAAATCTACCATAATATTCTTCCTCCCACAACACCAAGTTACCAACAACAGCGGCAACAACATGGAAGATCTCATTGCCCAATTCAGCTTCCTCTCCAACCAAGCCTTGCAAGACAAAACCTTCGACCCCTCGACGATCGAGGACCTCATGAAGCTGTTCGAGCTCGAAGCCTACAACTCGTGGGCCGCAGTCGAGCTTGAACAGCAACAAGAGCTGGAAGAAGCTGAGCGTGCCATGCAGGAAGCGGAGGAGTACATGGACTCGGTGATGGAGAGCGCCATGGACGAGTTCAGACGCTTCGAGGAGGAGATGGAACGCATGTCGAAAGCGGAATTGGACAAACTGGAGGCGACGGCGGAAGGGGCTAGGAGGATGGGGATGGTGGTGGAAAATGCAGCAACTGTTGCTGCCAAGAGGTATATTGAGGCTGCACTCAACTCTGCTACTGCTTCAATGAAATCGGCTTGGAAGGGCATTTCTGGTAAGAAGGTTCACCCTTCTTAATTAATCATGTATTAATTGGATTCAAAGTATAAGTACTGCCTTTGTATTTGCTTAATCATCATGTATTAAAACTGGGATTTGGGCCATGGCAGTGTAAAATAATGAGGCGTTTTGGAATTAAGGATAATAATCTTCTACAAAATACAGTTGAGAATAAATCAATACTTTCTGAAATTTTGTTTTTTGTTCAGGATGCATGAATCATATCCATTGCATATAAATTTCTCTTTTTTTTTTATTTTTTAATTTTAATTTTTTTAGAAACGATATCTAAAACTACTCTAATTACCGGGAGCGGATTCTAACTTGGGTGGACGGTGAGGAAAAGATCATGGCGTAACGGAAGAGGGAAGTTTTTGTTGGAGAGCAATTTGCATAAAAAGATTTTATTGTTTTGTGGCATTTTGATCTTATAATATTGGGTCTGATTTTCACACACCCTATTTTACTTCTTAAACATTCTTTTAATTTTCGGTCGTTGAATTGAAAGAATTGAAGAAGATCAAATGATAAAAATTAATAAAATAAAAGATGTGTAAGAAGTAATTTGAAGAATGTGGATAACAAACCTCTATAATATTATGTAATGTGAAAAAAAAACTTACGTATAACATGATATTATTGTTTTTTGTCAGAATTTTATTAGATTAAATTAACCATATACGAGATTTGAATTCATACCGTTCATCATGCAAAAATTTATGCAAAAATTTAACACCTTTATATCATTGATAAATTATCACTTGCCATTTCATGATATTATTGAACCGAAATGTTGTCACAGCTAAGTCGTGTAATTTTTAATTCTTATTTGGAGAAAGAGAAGCAGCAAACGGGGGTAGCCGTTGATGGTGGGACGTGGATAGTCGTTCATTGTTGACTACTTTGACATCAATAATTGAGTCTGAATAAATTATTTTATACTGCGTGTATATGTATGTACGGGCAAATCTAAAATTACTAAGGCAGTTTAAATAAAAATAAATTGAAATAACGAAATTTTATTTTTTAGAATTTATAAATTTTTTTGTTTGGTTAGATACAAAATTTAATGTGGTATTGAGTTAGTAATATATAAATGAGAGATACTACTTAGAAAATGTGCTAGTAGTGGTGTTGGAGACGATGATGATAATGGTGGGTGGTGGTGGCAACGGTGATGAAGATGGGTAGATGGGTAGTGGCGGTTGTAGCAGCGGGGGAAACACCGATATGTGGTGGTGGAGGCGGCCATGATGGTGACCATGGTGGTGGTAGTGGTCACTCATGGTTGAGTTTTTAATACTTTATTTGTAACTTCCCATTCATAAAATATTTAAAAATAATAGTCATTTACATGAAATTTAAACTTAAGAATTTAAAGTCTCAAATTCAGAGTATTTTTTCCTCACGAAAACTCTAAATTTTTATGTTTATGAATCTAAATAAGAAAATTGATGCATGTCAATTATAAATTTTAATTTTTATCCAAATTCCAAGTTTATTTTCCTGTAGTGTTAATTCTTTTTTCCCCTCACCAATTGATTCCATTCCAGCATCCAATTAATTTAAAATGATCAGCCTGAATCCTGAATTGGCTAATTAGGGAAATAAAGCAAATTTCTTTCTTCAAAATTAACAATAGCCTCATTGCCTGGTAAATAAACAGCTAAGCAAAATTTGGCACACCATTTCCAGAACCAATTCAAGATGGTATTTGAAACATGAAAGTACATCTTATGTCACACAAAGATCTCGTCCGGCCGGTCTAAATACAATTTTATTGACCCGTCCGGCCGGTCTAAAGTATATGCCGATTAAATACATGCTCACAAATGACAATTAACATCTGGTTCAGATTGTTGTGTTTAAATGTAGAATCTGTTGCAAGTTCCAGCAAGACTAACAAAATTGCGAATTCAAAATTTGAACATTGTAACATTCGCGACGATATATAGACAAAACTGAGTCAGAGACAGGATGGTTGGGTCGATGAGGGTCTGAATATCAACTCACATATCCATAGCTTGGGGTCCGACCGACGCCTTAGATTTCTTTTCTTTCCTCTTCTTGCTTCCACTTTTGTTTTTCCTTTTCACTGGCTTGACATCTACGACTGGCCGAGTACTCTGCAAGTGCTGATGAATGGCAGCTAAGGGATTTGACTTGAAAGTGGGATGATTAAGAACTGTAGTCAACTGCTTTCCTTCCTTCAATCTGATGAAATGGAAACCATTATTACTTAAATGAAATTCCGTTGGAGAATGTGAAAATGAAAAGTTTAGAATGCAACCGGATTTAGAATCAAAGAACTGGAAAACTTACACTAGCTTTTTCTTGGATTTACAATTTATCTTCAACTCCGAAACAGGAGTGGGTCGCTTTTCCTTCAACTCCGGAAGGAATTCTGAGAAAGAAGAGAGATCATATGCTTTCAGTTTCTTCTGTCGACTACGTAGTTTCTTCTTCTGGTAGAAGATAAAGTTAACTCATTAGCATCCAACGCATTGTAAAAGACCACTAAAACATAATGATACGTGTTCAAGTTATATCAGTAACATACAGAACAAAAAAATCCAGAAAACAATTGTTATTGAAACGAAGAAAATGCCAAGTTCTGACGACAAAATGCCAAGTGGAAGTTTGATACAGCATTTTGTTTGGGGTGGGAGAATATTTGAAGACAAAAATCCAGAATTTCTAGAAATCTGCCCTCTTCCTGCCTTAAGCTACTCCAAGTTCATATAGAGCAACAAAGGTTTTCAAAATCACTGCAGTGGTAACTTCTTCCTGATCAGTTTACACAAGTTGACGGCGAAGATTGGGAACTATTTCAACTCTTATTAAGCCCTAAGAATGGGCTCGGTTTTGGGTTTTCGTTGGGCCCATTTTGAACCCTTACAAATGGGATCAAAATCCCTGTACACTAAATATAGGCCACATAGACATCCTATCATCCCTCGTCTGGCCCCAATATGCGGTCCATACTAAGCTTTAAGTTTCCCAGGAAAACGAAATGCAAGACCACATTACTCTAATGTGTATCTTTTGGTTTCTTTTTGTTTGTTGCTACTTTATCCCCAACCTCCAAACTCCAAGGCTAATTGTCTTCATCTAAAGCAACAATGCCTCCCAATTCTCTTCATCAGTGATCCCCATTCCTCCAACATTTATGCACCAAGACTTGTCCATTCTTGTGAAAGACCTAGTTTTAACCGAAGAGCTTAGGGGTTCAATGCTTGTGTTTGAATCAAAGGGAACCCGTGCAAAGTCAGCAACCCTCCTGCATCTTCATTGTCACCCATCAATAGATGGCGTAAGGATGCTTTCACGCAACTCGCTATGCGTTGTTGCCAAATGGGTGGTCACAATTTCGATCCCAAGAGAACTCAGAAGAGCCCCTGGCACTAGTCCCCTCTCGCGAATCCTTGATTATTCAAAAATGTTACTCATGTCTTTTTGTCCACTAGAAATAGGGCTGAAACTCGCCAAGGTTCCATGAGTGGCAGGCCAAATAAAGCTGGGAAGTTGTAAACTTCCCAAACCCAGGTTTTCATAAATAACAACAAACATGACTTTATGATTATTGTCTCTCTCCCTCCAAACTTGAAAGGAACTCCCTAAATAATTTCTTCTGTGCCACTCTCCATGAGGCATTGTTAGATAAACACATCCTATGTCTATTTTCATAGTGTAGCTTCTTATTCTGCTTCACTCAATGATCTTGATCAACCCCCCACCAAGACACACACCCACACCATGAGTCACCACCAACCCGCACAATTTCTGCTCCACTCAAAATTTCTTAATTAAGTGTTGATAACTCACATTCTCTTCCCCCCCACCCAAAACAACAAAAACCACCCCACCCCTTACAAATGATAACAAAAATTACAATGAAACATATTCCTCTCATGCCAAGTTTGATATGGGAACTCGATTAGACTAGCTAAAATTAAACGACTAGATTTCATGTGCAATCAAGGAGGAATATGGATGCAGTATAGCTAACTGACTAGATTTCATGTGTGTATCAAGGAAGAACGTGGATGCTGTAGTCTAACATGGAGGATTACGATGGAATATTCCTAAGAGGTTGATGCTCCAAATAAGAACACAACATTTCATAGTCTTCCTTGATTGCACATAAAATCCAGTCATTTAACCTAGTCCAATTTATTATAGTCTAATCCTCCACATCAACATAGCCTCAAAATGAGCTCAAAGCAACCAACCGGAAAACCATGAACATTAAACGTTATGTCACCGCCAATTAATTGCTCTGAAGTCTAAAAACTCAAATATATCTTCCGCCATTGCAGACCTCCTCCAATATCACCTCATCAAATGACATATCTAAACAATGTACCACAATAACTCCGGTCATAATACCGGAAAAGCATTGGTATTTCGTCAAACAAAGCGAAAGTTGATGAATTGGAGATCCTCACCTTAACAATAGCCTTCTGTGCACCCAAGGAAGAAACTGCATCTCTAACCTTTGCATTGTTCATTGACAAAAATTAAACTTTCGGAAAAGCTATATATCAAAAAGCAATCATCTTTCGGAGAGAAACTAATTGGGGATCAAAATCTGTATCGATATTTACTGTTACGATTCATTTTCAAGAGACACCGAAAATCCAAACTTACTAGCATAAAATTCGAGCTTCTTTTCGAACTTCCGGCCAGCTTTGGTCGACGATTCTGATCTGCACCCAAAAAATAAAACTCAGAGAGAGAGAGAGTGAGAGAGTGAGAGAGAGAGAAGGGGTTGCGCTGCGTGGTGGTAAGGTCTTACCGTGAACCTGGCTTCCCCATCACTGAAACTTTCGAGCTTTGGTAGAGAGAGAAAGAGAGATATACAGAGAGAAAGAGATATTGTGTAGAGGGGAAGGTTAGATGGGTGGAGGTGTGGTAGTTGGGGCGGTGGTAGTGCTGCGACGGTTGGCGACCGTGGTGGGACCCTGAGTGTTTATGCGGCGGGGCTGCGGATTTAGGAGGTGTTGGGGGTGCGCAGCAGTTTATGCTGGTTTGTCATGTTTTATTATTATTTATTTTACATTTTATGAGTATATTTTTAGAAAAAAGCCCTCTCCGTCTTTCGTATTTTCATCCGAGGCCCAAGACTTTATCAAAATCTCCGTCTGTCTGTCCGTCGCACCAAATTACAAAACTGCCTCTGTTAGGAGTTAGGGTTTCGTCCAAGGCGGAGCTGGGCGGTTTCCGATCTTCCTGATTGCTCTCTTGTCGTAGGTACCATCTGCTCTGCTCTGTGCTTCACAGGTATATATCTAAATTTTTTTTTTCCATCAACAAAATTAACGAACAAACCGGTTTTTTATTTTTTAATTCCATGGCGATGATTAACTTTGCAGTTTCTTGGGGATTAAATTGTCGGTAGAATATTCAATTTTTATTTATTAATTATGTATATGATTTAGTGGATTGTTCTTCGCTGATTAATCAGTTCCTAATTAGCCCTTAAAAATCAGACACCATTGTTTAATTTATGCTTATTGATTTGTGGTTTTTGTGGAAACAGCCTCTTTGCAAGCAAGGTAGGTCTTCGTTCCCCCGACCCTCGCAAAGCGGGAGCCTTGTTGGCTTGGGGTCTTTATTAATTTTAATCTGTTGTATTTTCAGCATTCTGCTTAATTATTTACATGACAAGTTTTGTATATTCATTAGATTTTCTGACAGTTTCTCAGCTGCAACTGAAATGTTAAGAATCGTTGTTTTTATTGCTTAATTGATCATTTGACAGTTTCTCAGCTACAAACGAACCGTTAATGATTGATTTGTTTTGGTTTTTATAGGGCAAAGTAGGAAAAATTGTTGTTAGTGTACAAGTTTCATTCTAAGAAATATTCCTAGTAGGCTTAAAGTTGAGGCGGAAGGATGCCTCGTGACTTGGCACGGTCACAATCACGATCACCTTCTTATAGGCGAAGGCTTTCGCCATCTCCAGTGGGGTATAGGTCTAGCAGGAGAAGCCGCAGAGACAGAAGCCGGTCTCCATATTCCTCGTATTCTTATAGCAGGTGATCCCGTTAATATTCCGGCTTTTTTGTGATCATTTAACTGATTCTCAATCAATTGCTGGAAAGATTGAAGCGTCGCATATCGCTGATGTGATTTGGTTTACATAATGTTCGAGTTTCTATGTACGCATCTTCTCATCCTTATTTTTAGGTCTTTTGGTACTTTTTTATGTCTAGTGTGAATCCTGTTCGTAGACTTGCATGTTACAAGAGACAGTGATGTATGTAATTTGTTAAATATCTGACCAAGGATTTTGGTATTGGCTGTCAGATTTTTTCGCTTGGAACACTTGGATTAGTTTCGTTTAGAACATTGTTTCATTTCCCAATCGTGAAGTCTTGTAAATCTGTTTTATAGAAAATGAATATGTGCATTCAAGTTTACCTGGAACCTATTATGTTGATGTTGAGGTCACAGCTAAACGGAGCATTCTCATGAAATATCACTCTGAGTCGATATTCTGGATGCTAATTGCTAATATTTGACCATTTTCCCTCAAACCTTCAAGTGGACAGGAATTAGTTGTTCCATTGCCTGGGCTTGGTATGCTTTGACATTTTTTGTTCTGAGTTTTCTTTTCCCATCTTCAACTACAGTTGTGGTTTGTTGGTTTCGTTGCTGTCATGCTAATGCCAAAGAATTGCTGACGTTGTCATAAAATCTGATGGTTGGCTCATTTTGGATCTAACATTGATGGACATGTGACCTTTGGAAAAAATAAATTAGTTCTTGATTCTTTATAAATAACTGGATAAGAGTCTTGTATGAAAATATGGATTAAAATATAGAGTTGCCAGAGTGATATAAGGTTGCATGCTCTTCCTAAGAATTTAAAAGAATTCAGATTCTTCCCATCAAATGGGAAGTGAGCAGGTGATGTTTGTTGTTGGATTTCCTTTTGTTGCTCGATTGTGACCCTTGCTTCTTCATGTGATAAAAGATGGAGCACACAAAGGTTATACTTAACAATGTATGAGGTAACCGTACATGTTTCTATATATTTTGTGCTACATGGTGGACAGACTTGATAGTTATTGATTATGTGTAGTCATGTCCAGTTTTAATTGCTGTTGCTAATAGCTTTGTTTTTAGTATACAGACGGAAAAGTAGTTCAATTACCCCTAAGCACTGAAGAAATCGTTCTCCAACTCCAAGACGTCGTAAAAGTCGTTCACTGACCCCAAGATGTCATAAAACTCGTTCTCCAACCCCAAGACGCCGTAAAAGTCGTTCTCCAACCCCAAGACGCCGTAAAAGTCGTTCTCCAACCCCAAGACGCCGTAAAAGTCGTTCTCCAGTTTTGAAGCGCTATAAGAGGCAAAGAAGTAGGAGCTCCTCCTTGTCTCCTATTCGTAAATCTTCTAGTTCAAGTCTTGGATTGTTGGAGCAGAAAAATGCCAGTGAGAAATTGAGAAAGGAAGAAGAAGAAGAGAAGAAAAGGTATAACAATTACTTAACATCAGTTCTTTTATGATATCAGTTTTTTTTTATGACCTTTTTTAAGTTCATCTTTAGAGTAGACTAACAGTTCTACTTCTTTCCTGACTTATGTGCTCACATAGTGGGACTGTTTTCATTGTTACCCACAAATTTATGAGTTTTGATTTCTACATGAATAGTAGCCCTCCTGAAAATTACTGTATTTTTTCTGGATGCTTACTATTGTGTTTAGTTCATTGAAACGATAGTGTAATTAACATAAGGGAAAGAACCTCCGGTTCATGTTTGAATTAGCCTACTAGACAACTCTGTGAAACATGCTTGTTTGTTAACATTTAAGTTTTATACAACGGTACTTTCTCGGAAAATTAAACTAAGGATGGCTGCTGTTTACGTATGCAAAATTGAGATGCACACAACTTTTTTTAATTTGTAAAGAATGTCAGCTTCAATAGTGGAGTGTGAACCAAATCTCCAAAACTGCAATACTGAAGAGGTATCAAAATCCAATGCTTTACGATGCTATTCAGTGATATGAGGCTTGCAATTGTGTTTAAAGAGAGGAAAATTTGTGTTTGAGCATGTTTGTTAGACCTTGCTATGTATTTCTTCATCAGCTAACCTCTAAAGATTATTCCACCGGATTTCCAATGGGAGTTGGAATTCGTATAAATTTATTCAGGGAATCCCTCAGTTTGGTTGCAGTTATTTCTTGATTTCAGAAGTTAATAATATGCAATTGAGTTAGACTTCCAGATTGTATGCAGTTGATCCCAGATGCAGCTATTCTGAATCTAACTATTGTTAATGTTCTTATGACGGTAAGTAATGCAGTCAAAGGCCTTTTAAGAACATCGGGATTAGGTTGAGTAGAAACTTGCTCCTCTACACAATTGTAGGCAGATGGGGGTTACAATTGGGCTGAGGTGGTCTGGTTATGTGAAAGCTAATCAATAAGATATGTACAGAATTTAGTGGTTTATCAAGAAAAAATGCAATAGAGGTCGCACTTGGTGCGATGGCAAGTGCCTTCGCCCATGAGCGGTAGGTCTCGGGTTCGAGACTTGGGAGCAGCCTCTCCATAAATGGGGGTAAGGCTAGCCGACATTCACCTCTCCCAGACCCTGCGTAAAGCGGGAGCCTTGTGCACTGGGTACGACCTTCTTCTATCAAGAAAAAATGCACCTCTTGTGTAAATTTTATGAGTGGAAGTGTTAGAGAGCACTTTGTCCTGTCAACACATGATACTTATTGTCACATCCACAAATCATTGATTATAGCTTGTTCACTTTCAGTTACTCTTCGAGGCATATACTTCTTCAGGACACTATCATCTTCCTGCATAATTTCATTTTTGGAGTATCCAGAAATATATAGTCAGTTAATTTGGTGTACAAAACCAACCATATGGTAGACCTAATTGTTTGGAGATCCTTTAGAAGTACCTGTTGTGTCTAACCTAAGAAGCTGAGCCATGCAACAGTTGGGTTGAGTGTTGGTGGAAAGTCCTGGTTAACTTTTGTTTACCAAATCATTTAGTACACTGTCTATTCCTTAAGGTTTGGACTTTGTTGGCTTCTGATCTTACTCCATTTTGCCATGTGGCAATCGTAGTTCTCCATCAGTCTTGAACTGCCGTTTCTGTCATGTGAATGTTTTCCAATGTCTTTTATTGCTTTAGTGCTTATCACACTCAAGATGCACTGCACTTGGGCCATATATTATAAAACTGTAGTCTATCATATGTCAAGAATGCATTTAATTCAAATTTGAAGTAACTCGATAATTAGTTTTAAAAATGCAGCAGGTTTACTTGACATTCTCCTCCACAGGCTTTTCTGAAGGATGATACTGCTTTAGTTCAACTTGTAATTTGATGATCAAAATGGGTGCATCGTTTATCTACTGTTCACCAGTTGTGAAACTCATATGTTTGGATCAGAATACATTAGAGGTATGCCTTAAAAGTATAAGCATATCTATAGTACCTTTGTCCTCATGAAGGTTAGTTTGCCATTTATTCAGTCGGATAATGACGAGAGAGAAGGGGAGGGGTAAAAAAAGGAATCAGTATATGTTAATTGGCATTTTATTTGTACTCGGGCGGCAGCTTCCCTCTTTATATTAGAGACCACTTTATTGCTTAACTTTTTTTGCTTGTATTCTCAGGCGGCAACAGGAAGCAGAATTGAAACTGCTTGAAGAAGAGACTTCAAGAAGAGTGGAAGAAGCAATTCGTAGGAAGGTTGAGGAGAGCTTAAACTCTGATGAGATTAAAGTGGAAATACAGAGGCAGTTGGAGGAAGGACAGAAGAAGCTCCTTACTGAAGTGGCAGCGCAACTTGAGAAAGAAAAGGAAGCAGCTCTGATTGAGGCTAGGCGTAAGGAGGTAATATTTAGGCTACCATGTTTGTTAGAACCAAGTGTTTATCGAAGAGCTTTGCAAACTGGGAGGAGATTCACTTAACATTAATCAAAGAACAAACCGGCTATAAATAAGCCTTACATAACAAAAAGATAAAAGTGCAACCCACGTTAAACACTAACCTAAACGTGGTATATGACTAAGTCTGAAAATAAACCAACTTCTACTGATCCCTAGAAACTAGGGCTTATTTGGCCATGCAGTTACAACTGCTTACATAAACTAACCTAGGTTTACGTAGTGGATAGAACCACTACTTTCAACAAACCTAATAATCTAACATCCTCCCTTAAACTGATTGCTAAGCAATCAGTTTACACCTGGTTCCAGACACTCCCATAAGCTCACGCATCCTCAGAAAAGCATCAGTCTTCAAGGGCTTGGTTAATATGTCTGCTATTTGCTCTTGAGTGCTGCAATGGACCAGCTGCACAATTTCATCCTTAGTCAAGTCACGAAGAAAGTGGAAACGTACATCTATGTGTTTGCTTCAACCATGCATTACAGGATTCTTGGAAAGCTTTATTGCTGAGCTATTATCACAGAAAATCGTTGTAGAGGCTTGCTGAGCTTGACCTAATTCCTTCACTATTCTTCTCAACCAGGTTGCCTGACACGCACATGAAGCTGCTGCTATGAATTCGGCTTCAGTTGTTGATAACGTAATCACAGGTTGCTTCTTAGAAGACCAACACACAGCTCCTGAACCTAGCATGAACAAATACCCCGATGTGCTCTTTCTATCATCTAAATCACCTGCATAATCACTATCTGAGTAGCCTCTGAGCTCAACATGTCCTCCCTTCTTGTACAGAATTCCAAGACTGATTGTGCCTTTTAAATACCTCAAAACCCTTTTTGCTGCTGCCAAATGCATCTCTGTTGGACACTCCATAAATCTGCTAATTAAGCTTACCACAAACATAGTGCCAGGCCGAGTGGCTGTGAGATACATAAGGCTCCCCACGATTTGTTTATAGAAAGTATTGTCGACCTTCTCCCCAGTCACATCCTTTGTTAGCTTGGTACCTGGAACAATAGGATTGTGCACTGGATTGCAACCTCCCATGTGAAATCTTTCCAACTTCCTGAGCATATTTTTTTTGGTAGATAAATATTCCATCTACCTGCTGCAATACTTCAATTCCAAGGAAGTACCTTATCTTACCAAGATCGGTCATTTCAAACTCATTCATCACCGACTGCTTAAACTTAGTGATCATGCATTCATCATTGCCAGTATAAATGAGATCATCAACATAAAGACAAACAATGAGAATTTTACCTCCATCTCCAGTTTTGATGAACAAAGTGTGTTCATAGGGACATTTCACAAACTCTTCCTTCAAGAAATAAGCTTCTATACGACTATACCAAGCACGAGGGGCTTGTTTAAGTCCATATAAAGCTTTTCTTAATTTGTAAACTTTATGCTCCTTATCTCTCTGCACATACCCAGGTGGCTGTTCTACAAACACTTCTTCATTGATTTCTCCATGTAAGAAGGCACTTTTCACGTCCAATTGATAAATTGTCCATTCCCTTTGCGCAGCAAGTGCAATTATAACCCGAATGGTATCTAACCTAGCCACAGGAGCAAATACTTCAGCATAATCAACTCCATATTCTTGAGCATACCCTTTAGCCACCAGCCGAGCTTTGTACTTGTCCACCTCTCCATTCTCATTCAGTTTAGTCTTGTAAACCCATTTGACTCCGATCATCTTCCCACCTTGAGGTAAATCTGTCAATTCCCAAGTCTTGTTCTTCTCAATAGCTGCTATTTCGACATCCATAGCTTTCCTCCATTTAGCACTTTTCACAGCTTCTTTGTAATGCATTGGATCACTGTCTGCTAAAAGAGCCAAGTGCACCATATCTTCTTCTTCAGACAATCCCTCTCCCGTTACGTAATCTCTCATCCACACCGGCGGAGCCCTAGGTCTTCTTTCTTCTAGACTGGATGAACTTGCTTCTGAGACTTCATCTGATCCACTATTGTTGCTTGTGTCATTTCCATTTTCACCGGATCCGTCTTCATCTTCTCCCTGACTATCAGCTCCATCAGCTTCAATTGATCTATCTTCATAATCATCCCATTCCAAATCTGCTATGACAGCCTCATGGTGATGCTCATCCCAAGCCCAGCTACTATTCTCAAATCTAACATCACGACTAATTATGATCCTCTGCGAAACCGGATCAAATAGCCGATATGCCTTCGATCCTTCACTGACTCCAAGTAGTACACACTTCATACTTTTATCATCTAGCTTGATCCTCTTGTTGTCTGGAATATGTACGTATGAAATGCACCCAAAAACCCTGAAATAACTTACTGATGGTATCGTACCACTCCATGCCTCCTCGGGTGTTTTGTTTTTTACTGCAAATGTGGGACTCCTGTTGAGCACATGAACTGTCCAGTTTGCTGCTTCAGGCCAAAAAGTCTTTGGCATCTTCTTCTCGGTTAGTAAGCTTCGAACCATGTTCACCAGGACCAGATGGCTTCTCTATGCAAATGTTCCAACATTGCTGGGATATTTTGAAGGAAGATATAATGAAGATCATGGAGGAATTCTTTGAGAAAGGGATAATAAATGCAGTGACGAACGAAACATTCATTTGCCTAATCCCAAAGAAGTCAGATTCTTTGAAGGTGACGGACTATAGGCCCATCAGCTTAGTAACTGGATTGTATAAAATCATAGCGAAAACACTGGCTTCAAGATTGAAGGAGGTTTTGGTTACCACTGTCTCCCCACATCAGGGGGCGTTTGTTAAGGATCGACAAATTTTGGATGCAGTCCTCATTGCAAATGAAGTGGTAGAAGAGATAAGGCAGAAAAAAGAGAAGGGATTGGTGCTCAAGATCGACTTTGAAAAAGCGTATGATCATGTTGAATGGAGATTTCTGGAAGAAGTACTACAAAGAAAAGGTTTTGGCAATAGATGGAGGAAATGGATTCAAGGATGTTTATGCTCTGCAAATTTTTCTGTTTTGATCAATGGGAGGCCTAGGGGAAAATTTCAAGCTTCAAGAGGACTAAGACAAGGTGACCCACTATCACCCTTTCTCTTCACCTTAGTAGTCGATGTTTTGAGCAGGTTAATGGAGAAGGCTCAAGAAAATGATCTCATCAAAGGTTTGTGTATCGGGCAAGAAAAGGTGGAGATCTCTCATCTTCAATTTGCAGACGACACCATATTCTTTTTGACGGAAGATGAGGAAGTTTGGAACAACCTATTACAAGTGCTCAACTTATTCTGTTCGGTCTCAGGACTGAAAATCAACAAAGCGAAGTGCTTTTTGGCAGGAATAAATTCAGAAAGTGAGAAATTAAACAGGATGGCAGATTCTTGGGGTTGCGAGGTAGGATGTTGGCCTATAAAGTATCTGGGACTTCACCTTGGGGGAAGGCCAAAAGCTATAAGGTTTTGGGATCCAGTGGTAGAAACAATGGAAAGAAGACTTCAAAGTTGGAAGAAGGCTTTCCTATCCAGAGGAGGTAGATTAACTCTAATTCAATCAGTCTTGGGAAGTTTGCCGATTTACTATATGTCATTGTTCAAAATTTCCCTGTGGGGTAAGAAGACATCTAGAAAAATTAATGAAAGGGTTTCTCTGGGAAGGCGTGGAGGAAGGTAAGAAAACCCATTTGGTCAAAATGGGAGTTAGTTACTAAAAACAAGGAGGAAGGAGGTCTAGGGGTGGGGAATTTGAGGAATCAGAACGAAGCACTATTGGCTAAGTGGTTGTGGAGATTCCCAAGGGAGTCTCATTCCTTATGGCACAAGGTGATAAGAAGCAAGTATGGGCTACAAGTTAATGGATGGAATGTACTTCCTCCAAGGAGGGTTTCAAGTCGTAGCCCATGGAAAGACATTTCGAGTGGTGCTCATCAGTTTCTTAGTTGTTGCAAGTTTGAGGTGGGCAATGGAGAGAGGGTTAGGTTTTGGGAGGATGGGTGGTTAGTAGGGGGACCGCTGAAGGAGCAATTCCCCAGATTATTCTTATTATCGAGGAAGCATAATCATAACATATCTAGCTTTGTGGAAGCTTCGTCAAGTTCCTTGAGTTGGAACTTTGATTTTAGGAGAAATTTGAATGAGATGGAGATAGAAGAGGCGGCCAGCTTATTACAGAAAGTGGAAGTGGTTCGCTTGTCTCCATCAAAAATGGATAACAGAAGGTGGAACCTAGAAACTTCAGGTTTGTTCACATGCAAATCCTATCGGTCATTACTAAGCAACAATGGGATTGTGCACTATTATCCACCCTACTCTCAGATTTGGAAATCAAAAGTTCCTCCGAAGGTTAAAATACTTGTATGGCTTGTGGCCAATGGGAGTCTCAACACTTGCGACAAAATTCAAAGGAGAAACCCTATGATGTGTTTATCCCCACATTGGTGTAGTTTATGTAAAGCTAAGGAGGAGAGTGTAAATCACATGTTTCTTCATTGCTCCTACTCGATACAACTGTGGTGGAAACTGTTTCAGGAGGTTAAAGTAAGTTGGGTCATTCCTAAAGGGTGTTTTGAGCTACTAAGCACCAATTTCAAGGCACTTGGAAAAGGGAAAAAATCCAAAGCTTTGTGGGGTTGCCTGGTATCGGCAATTTTCTGGAATATATGGCTGGAACGCAACAAAAGGATTTTTGAAGACTATACTGGAGTGGGGGCAGAAGTACTTTGGGGGAGAGTTAAATATTGGGCATCTTTTTGGGCTTCGGTTACTAAAGAGTTTAATAATTGCTCTCTATCTCAAATACTGTGGGATTTGTTAGCAGCAGTTAAGTGAGCTTGGTCTAGAATTGGCTACTGTAGCCAATTCCTATTAGGATTTTCCTTTCTAATTTGTTGGTGGACTTCTTATCCACTTCTGTGTTTTTCTCTTTTCTTTAATAAAATTGTTTCTTCTAAAAAAAAAAAAAAAAAAAAAAAAAAAAAAAAAAAAAAAAAAAATGTTCATTATGGTCCGATTCTTACGCTTAGCTACTCCGTTTTGCTGCGGGGTGTAGGCTGCTGTCAGTTGTCGTTGAATCCCATTCTCAACACAAAACTCAACAAACTCGTGAGATGTAAACTCCCCTCCACGATCCGTGCGCAAACTTTTAATACTTGCATCAGTTTCTTTCTCCACAAGACTTTGGAAAGCTTTAAAGGTTCGAAAGGCTTCTGACTTTTCTATTAAAAAATAGATCCAAGTCTTACGACTAAAATCATCAATAAAGGTGAGTAGATACCTCTTCTTACTATTGGATGTAGGCTTTATCGGTCCACATATATCTGCATGAACGAGTTGTAGAATTTGACAAGCCCTCCAAGTACTTTTTTTTTGGAAAAGGATCTCTTGATTGCTTACCTACCAAGCAGTTCTCGCACTCTTGACGAGTCCTTTATCTGAGGTAGTCCACTCACCATTTGCTTCTGTTGTAGAGTCTTTAAGCCACCAAGACTCAAGTGCCCATATCGACAATGCCACAACTGAACTGGATCATCTGTGAGAACATTGAAACATGCCTGGACATTGAGTTGATACTAAGCAACAAGAATGAACATGCGGTTTGCAGCCATAACAGTCTCCATGATCAGTCCTCTTTTAGGGTGATAGATCTTGCACCTCCCGTGTTGAATGAGAATAGCAAGACCTTTCTCCTGAAGTTGACCAATGCTTAGAAGATTGTTCTTTAAAGCAGGAACATAGAAAACCCCCGTGACCACCTGAGTCATTCCATTCACTTGTAGTCGAATGTTTCCTTTCCCCAAAACATCCATTCTAGTATTGTTCCCTAGTTTCACAGTTTCTCTAAAACTTCCATCAAAATCAGAAAATAACTCTCTCTTACCACACACATGGTTGCTGCAACCCGAGTCGAGGAACCAAATGTCTTCTTTGATCTCCTGAGTGTCCATGTACGCCATTAGCAACATCTCTTCACTAGCTTCTGCATAGTTGGCCTTTGCTTCCTTGTCTTTCTTAGGACACTCATACTGATAGTGCCCTAATTCATGACAATTATAGCACTCAATCGTTGACTTGTCGAAATTTTGTCGGCCTCTTCCTCTACCTCTTCCACGATAGCTTCCTCGGCCACGTCCTCTTCCTCCAAAGTTGTCTTCATAGGCTACTTTTAGTGCTTGCTCCTCCACAACATGTCCAATCATCCGCTGCTCATGTACTAGCAAACTACTTTGCAGTTCATCAATTGAGAGAATGTCTAAATCTTTAGATTCCTCAATTGAACAAACCACATAGTCATATTTAGGAGTCATCGATCTCAAGATCTTCTCAATGACTTCTACATCTGTCAATTTGTCACCATTGATCCTTCTCTTGTTGGCTATGGTCAGAGTTCGACCAAAAAACTCATTCACAGTTTCTCTTGTCTTCATGTGAAGCATCTCAAACTCTTTTCGAAGTGCCTGCAACTGTGCTCGCTTGACTCGAGCAGTCCCTTGATACTTCTGCTTCAACGAATCCCAAATTTCCTTAGCCGTATCCTTGTTCAAGATTGTTTTCAAGACAGCTCGATCAATTGCTTGAAACAAGTAGTTCTTAGCCTTCAGATCTTTCAACTTTTGATCTTCGAGCACCTTCCGTTGCCCCTCCGTGGCTCCTTCTGCTGCTGCAGAGATTCCATGCTCCACAATACTCCAATATTCCTTTGAACGTAGGAAGTTTTCCATAAGCATCACCCAGTGGTCATAATGCCCATCCAGTTTTGGAATGGATGCTTGCACAAAGCCACTTCCTTCTCCTGCCATATTCTCGTATCTCTTCACTCAAAAGATTGCTATCTCTCAAGCTTCGATCAAGAGCCCCAGGTTGGGGCTCTGATACCAAATGTTAGAACCAAGTGTTTATCGAATAAGAGCTTTGCAAACTGGGAGGAGATTCACTTAACATTAATCAAAGAACAAACCGGCTATAAATAAGCCTTACATAACAGAAAGATAAAAGTGCAACCCACGTTAAACACTAACCTAAACGTGGTATATGACTAAGTCTGAAAATAAACCAACTTCTACTGATCCCTAGAAACTAGGGCTTATTTGGCCATGCAGTTACAACTGCTTACATAAACTAACCTAGGTTTACGTAGTGGATAGAACCACTACTTTCAACAAACCTAATAATCTAACTATGTTGCCTCAAAAATCTCATTTTCTCTTGTTACAGAGGCACACTTATGAGTCATGGTTTGCTTTTACCATTCGGGATTGTTGGATGCACATCTTCTGTTTTCTGGAAAATACTATTGTTGTTATTGTTACCATTCGTCTTTATAGTTATTACTGTTAGGAACAATTGCTCTGTTTGGGGAAATGTAAAATAGCAGATATGGTAGAAGTACACACAATAAGTCGTTAAGATAGTAGTAAATCATTACGGTAAGTATGTATTATTCATCTACAAAGAGTGCTGGTGCTGGAAGACCTAGATATTGGGGGCAGCGAGCATCTAAGACCTAGACATAGCATTGCTCGGCTGTGTAATTATTATAAACAATCACAATTCCAGATGGGATGATATTTTTAGTCTGCATCTGCCTTTCCTCCCTCTGTACTAGTGGAACAATCAAAGTAAGTTATGTGTGTTTTGTATGTCCTACAGGAACAAGCTCGAAGAGAAAAAGAAGAGCTGGAAGGGATGCTTGAAGAGAACCGGAGGAGAGTGGAAGAAGCTCAAAGAAGGGAGGCTTTGGAGCAGCAGCGGAGGGAGGAGGAGAGATACAAGGAGCTGGAAGAACTCCAGAGACAAAAAGAAGAGGCAGTGCGAAGGAAGAAACAAGAGGAGGAGGAAGCCCGGTTGAACCAAACGAAATTGTTGGGTAAGAACAAAGCCCGGCCAAAATTGTCATTTGCACTCGGATCCAAATAGTGTATTTTTTGTGGAACTCCGCTAGGTTCCTTTTGACTATGTCCGTCCTTTTTGATTGCCGCTTGTAACTAAATGTTAATTTGTCATTTTTTGGTTTTGCATAATTCTAAAGTCAAAGTTAATTCTCAAATTTATCATTATAAATTATAATTTAAACTCCGCTCACTCTTTTGTTTAGTCTATCCTGGTTCCATTTTGGCTAAAATCCTAATAGGCTTCAACTCTTTAACATGTACATTCTTAAAATTTTATGTACTAAACTAGTATTTACGATTTAAAAGGTTGAGGGGTTGTGTGAATTTGCAGCTAAATTAAAGGGTTGAACTGGACATGTATCATTTAATTCTTTCGAATTTCGAAATGTGTACTTGTTTGTTAATGCTTTTGTCAAGTTTGTTTCTTCTCTGTGTTCTTGGTTCAGTGTTTGAATAGGATTATAGGATTGATGAGACCTGAACTCAGTTTGCTGTCTACAGATGTGGGTTAGACTAGTTGGTCGGGGCAGTGCGTCCACCTCCTTGTACCTAAGTTCAAATCTCCTCCCTGTAGATTATAGTAGTTTTAGATATATGGTTTGCTTCTGGCTCTGGTTTTGGTCACAGGCTCACAGTTGCTGTTATTGGAATCGATTTTGTTGAAAAAAATTATTATTTCTGGCTTAAGAAAGCAGAACTGGAGACATGCATGCTTGTTCTGTATGAGTTCAATTTCAAGGCGGAAGAAGAAGAAAATAGTGTAATTAATCAATCTTAAGATTTAGTTTTAAAGAAATGGTGTTCAATATTCATCTCTCAGCTTGAAGAGATCATGATTGGAGCATTTTATTGCCAAAATTCAATGGTTCTATAACCTAACTCAAGAGAGACCAACAGTTATGGGTGTAAAAATAAATCCACATTAAATTGGGTTTATGGGGGTATATTAGGTAGTAAATTAGGGTTTAAAGAGATATTAATAGTTTAGTTAAAAATCAAATGTGTGCAAAGAGTAAGTTGGGTGTAGAAATATGTTACATGAGTTTAAACAAAATTTCCCAAACTTAAATGGCCAACACACTTGGTAAAACAAATAGATTTTAGGGTTAATTACATTTTGCCCCTTAGGTTTGAGTACAATTATAATGTCTTATATCGATCTTTAAAATATTTCAATTTCATATTATTTATTTTCAATTTCATACCGCTGTTAAAAAATCTATGTTAAGTGATGACATTGAATTCCACATTTACGCTGACGTGGCTGCCAACTTGTGACACGTGCTGATGGAGGAGTGATGGGAAAGGTTGTGTGAGTGAAGACTGACAAGGGAGGAGGGAAAGAGGGGTCGATGGAGGCGACGACAGCCATAGACGATCTTGCCGCAATTCAGAGAAGCCAACGGACTTGGCAGGGGCAGCCGAGGCCGACGACGAAAGAATGTCCCTCTCCAACATCAGAAACTCGGTGGAGTCAGTCCGAATCTGAAGCTCCTTGATAGCGACATCGGATTCCGCCCCGCCCAACACTGACAGAGAGCAAGAATCCTTTTTGAGTACCAAATGTAGCTTGATAAGAATGCTACTCCTTTGCAAATAGACAGAACTAGAAGTTTAGCCCGCATGTTGCGGCGGGATTAAAAATAGATCATAAACATTGTCCGTGTAGATATATGTAAAAGCTATTTACATAAAACATATAGCAGTTGTTAATAGTTTCACCATATACACCGATATTATATACATACAAAGAGTTTGTTCAAAATATAACTCCTATTTCACATAAGCATCCCCAGAATTGTGGTGCTTTGACCCCTCACTGCTCCACGGCGGGTTGAAAAATTTGTCATGTAATTAACAAAGACAAATTCACGAGGGGCAAGTAAAGAGTCCATGAATTTCCATATTGTGTACCAAGTTGGTAAAAATGTACTCCAACATGACCAGCTCAAAAGAAGTTGATTCCTCCACTCTCAGTAGGTACTGAGGTTCTTTTGGATATAAAAAAAAGCTGAGATAAAAAATGTGTTTGGTAAACACTTAAAAACAACTTATTTTCACAATTTTAGGTGAAAAAAAGCTGAAAACGTGAAACAGCAAAAATGAGTTTATTCTCACAGCACATCAAAAGCAGTTTTTTTTCAAAGCACAACAATACCAAACCAGCCCTCAATATAGTTTATCGTCTACAAATGCAATAAAAGAATCAGAAACTTAGGGTCTGTTTGGTATCCTATTTGAAAATTTTTATCATTTCTCAAAACATTTTTTAAGAACATTTCTTGAAAACAGTTTTTTTGAAGACTCAAAAACTTGATTGGTTTCTAATTTAAAATTTTTAAATCTTACGACTTAAACTATAACAAAGAGATCTAAAAAGAGGGGATCGCAAGAGAGGTAGAAAGAGGAGAGAGGAGGAAAGAAAGTAAGAGATGATTTGAGGAAAAAGAAAGAAGAGAGAGAATCAGACGAGATAAAGAGGAAGATGAGTGAGAAAAAGAACCTAAAGAATAAAGAGAACGAATTGGAGGAGAGACGAAAAAGATAAAAAAAAAAAAGATAGAGAAAGAAGAAAAGAGAGATTTGGAGTGAGAGTGGAGGAGGAAGAGAAAAGGAAAGAAGTGAGTTTAAGTTTAAAAACTCTAAAAACTCACTTTTTATGTTTTTAGATGATAAACTATATTTTTGAGTTAATTTTGAGTTCAGTTTTTGAAAATAATCCTACCAAACAAGTTTTTAAGACCTAAAACTTGAAAATTGTTTTTGAATTTAAAAAGTTAGATTCAAGTACCCTACCAAACAGGCCCTTAGCAACACGGCCAATTTTTGCATAGCAAAAGAAGCAGAGATACGTTCTAAGCAAACAAAATTTCGCCCCTCGTAACTCACCAAAAAGCAAACAAAATTTCAAACAAAGTGGCTGGCACAATCTAAAATAGGAGCAAAAATCTAAAAAAGCTAAGAGCCTGTTTGGTACTCTATTTGAATCCAACTTTTTAAACTCAAAAACAATTTTCAAGTTTTAGGTTTAAAAAACTTGTTTGGTAAGACTATTTTCAAAAACCGAACTCAAGACTAACTAAAAAATATATTCTATTCTCTACAAACATAAAAAGTGTGTTTTTAGAGAATAACTCACCATAGTGCTTCCGTAGTACTTCTGGCACCACAACATCTGTGAATGTTTCTCCCGGGAAGAATACGGGTTTTTGTTATAATTCAGATATTGAAATGTGACAAAAAAAAAAAAAAAACAAAATAACTTTCTTGTAGTGATAAATTACGAATCAACTAGATTTTTTTTTGAAAAGAACAACATAATGAAAAGAAAAATTAAAGTAACTGAACCACTAAGAAATTAACAACACAGATGTTTACATTTATCAGTATCCCATCGATATATGCACCAAATTTTAGCGAATGCTGGTGATGTTTTACAAATTGTTCATACCAGTGATTACTGGATTACGCAAATGGTGCAGTGAAGACATCAGTGAATTATGCAAATGGTGCAGTGAAGACATTAACAAATTGAAAACAACAAATGGTGCAGTGAAGACGGTGAATCAACAGTCACAGATTAACAAATTGAAAACAACAAATAAAACCACAGAAAAAGAAAACAGCCATCTGAACTTGGAACAAAGAACATACGAACAGAAGAAGACTCAAAATGAGAGAAATGAAACAAATAAATAGACCTAAATCTCCTAATTCATTTAAAAAACAAACCATAGAATAATGTTGGTGATATCAAACAAAAGCAAACGTATAACAGAAAATTACTTAAGGCTTTGCCTGATATCAAACAAAAGCAAACTATCGTGAACTTTTAACTTCAAAACCAATCATCAATGATAGATATATGTCAACTTTCGAAAAAAAAATTACTTACTTTGCCAAACCCAAACCTGCCTCACATTCGAAAGAAATGCACATTTTAAGTTATCAATCATGATTCAGTGCATGAGTTTGTTCTCATATTTTCCCTTTTAATCTAACAACATATATAAAATTGAAGAGAGGATGAGAAATTTTTACCTCTAGGTGTCTCGACTCCAAGATTAGAGGTTTGGACTTTGGATCCGCTTGGGTGGAGCTTGAATCTCGCGAGATCTGGGCTCAGCTTTCCTGAGACGGCGGTGTAGGCAACGGTCTTGGGGCTCTCATCTCTGATTTCTGAGCATGGATTTGCTCAGATGGGGACGATGATGCCAAAACGAACAAACCCAACCCCTCAAAAAGCTTTGTCCAAGTAGCAGTCATAGATTGCCAAACCACGCCAAAACCACGCCTCTTCTTTACTTGGTCTTCTTAATCCTCTCCTTAATTTCACTGCAAAATTCACACACAGATATAAATGACCAACCAGGGTCATTGTGGAACAAAACCCGAAACTGAATTTCTCATCCTAATCAATTGATTCAATTTTTAACAAATACACATAAATATTAAAGAGCAACATGCCACGTTGAACAAAACAAATGATTGATCAACTTAAAGAGTGTGTCTAGTAATGCTTTGGTAAGGCTAAAAGCGTTTCTAGATACCAAAATTTGAGCAGAAATAACTAAAAGTGCTATTGAATAGAATTAAATTGCAGTATCAATAGACTTCAATATTAACCGGTTTACCCTGAAAAGACACGACAACAATCAATAGAATTAAATTGTAAGTGAACTAATATTTTGAACAACAAATATATAAGGGATATATATTGCACAAATATACATGATGCATAACGTCTCACATGTTTCCGAAACGAAAACGCTACAAATCCAAGATATACGGCCAATTAATTCTTCAACCACTAATGGATCGTGGGATATTCATAGCTGCCTTTGTAGTTCTTGTTTGTCAAATTCGAACACAACTCAGGAAAAATAAATATAAACACAATGAGAGAAGAAGATATAAGACAATTACCTCTCTTTTGGCAGGAAGCTCATTCCCAAACATAAATTCTGACATCTTCCTAAGCCTGTATTATGCAGGTTGTGTACTCAGTGAATATGCTTTCGAGAAAAGATCAACAAGCGTGCATTAATTCCTAAATTCCTATGAATTTGACATGCTAATTTATTGAAAGGATTTGGCAAAAAAGACTGGGGGATTAGAGAGACCTCAAAAACGAATGATGCACATATAGATCTAAACTAGTTTTTTATACCCGCGCGTTGCTGCGGGTTTTAAAGCAGAGTGAAATGCTATATGAAAGTATTGAAAAATGAATTTGCAAAGCAATAACAACATTAATAACAAAGAAAATGGAAAAGTTGGAGAAAAGCTTGAATTGTGAGAAGATATGGATAAACATGAAAGTTTATGATTGGATCACAGCACTTATAACTGTTTTTGGATTAGGATGATCATATTTACAAACAAAAAATTAGCAGATACTTTGTTACAGGGATACAAAAAATATTAGAGCTATATATTCTACTTTAGCTGTTCTTTGTACTCTAAAAACTAAACCAGCTTCTGTACACAAAAAATTAACAAACGCTGGTATACAGGGATGCAAAAAATATTGTCCAGTTTTGTGCAGAAAGTGGTATTTACAAACCACCAAAGATCTTAGACAAAGTTTAACACAGAGTAGGAAAAGATGCAAAATATATTGTAGCAGAGGAGGAAACGTCTTGTAGCAGGAGCATTATCAGTGTTGACATTGAGAAACGAACCTGTACAGAGAAAAATAATGCAAGGCATTTAGAAAGTGATTAAGTTCACAGCTAAGCAGGTTTGAAGTAAAGAATTTAGCAAAATGAAACCATACTGACCTAGTTAATTTTTGGATGGACTATCTGTTTTTGCAGAAGCTGGAGGTGATTTTTTTTTCAGCAATTTGATAGGCATTTCATCAAATTCTTTTGGATCAACTTCTGAAATTTCTTCTGCTTCACTGTTTTAAATGACCATGAGTGATGAGCACATATTATTGGATAAAACATAAAAAATGTTGTCCAACTATAATTTGTATCTCTTTACTCAAATTTTGTCTTAAAAAAAAAAAAGATTCTTGACAGGTAAGTAAAATAAAACCATTAGATTTTATGATACTATGGAGTTTGAATCTATACCTCTGTTCACTGCCAATAAAAAGAGCTTTCCTCACAGACTCCCTCTTTCGTTTATGTGATTCTCCACTTGTTTCAGGTAGTGAGGTCGAAGATGATACAGTAGTGGAAGATACTGTGACTGCTCTTGGTAAGATCTGTGGAGTTATTGGTTCTATAGCTGTATCATCAGACACATTGTAAACCAGTACATCACTTGAGTTGAAACTATTTTTTCTATTTCCAAATCGCAAGTGGAAAATCTTCTTTTGTCCAATCAGTCGCAAAAACTCATTAGGCAGTTGTTGTTGGTCAATCAATTTCTGATTCAAGACCAAATCTTTGCAGGGCATACCAAAGAGTTTTTCTCCAGCTTTGCCAATTATCAAAGCACTAATTTCATTGGTGCTGTCTTCAAGAATCAAATTAACTTTGTACCTATATTTAAAAACTAAATTCCATGAGTTTTTTTAATGGCTTATAACTCATTGTTAACAATCAGAGCAAAGAAGTTTAAAGAACAGAGGTTATAGATTTGAAGTCATTTTTTAGTTGGAAAGAAATAGCATGGAATTGAAAATCGTAGAAATAGTAAAAAAAAAGACAGAATAACAAACTTGGATATTGAATATTACCATGGTGTTGAAATTTGGTTAGGGTGTTTCTGACAGATGAGTTGTCCGGTCGATGTGTCCTTATGCATTTGTTTGACACAGCTAGGGCAAGCATTGTACCACCAATCATAACGTGTGTCAAAACGTTTGACAGATGCTTTACATAGGAATGTATCATTCTGTCAAATGTTTTTGACATGTGTAAGAGCAACAACAAAATTAGTTTTTGTTCAATATATAAAAATGCAGGTAAATGTAAAAAAAAAAAAAAGATAGAAAAGCATAAATCGTTTGTATACCTTATACAAATCAGGATCCAAAAAGGCCAGCTCATCTGTTGTTACTCTTCTTGCTGTACGCAGAATTTCAGCCTCATTTGCTTGCCTTGAAGAAGGAGGCAGTATTTTTACAGGGACTTTAGAGGTTGAGAACCTGCAAGTTTAAAAACAAAATAAGAAATTTTGAAAAATCAGCATGTTTAGAGGTTTTAACAGGAATGACGATTTTAGAAGTGCACTGACATTGATTTATATGAGTTAACCTCCGGGATGTCTGGGTCGATGAAAAAAAGGGAGGAGCCAGTACTATTCAAGACGATGTTCTCTGTTGAGGAAAAAAAGTGTTATAGATACATATAAAAATGTGGTAAAATAATTTGAACGTGCAATGCTATAAACGAAATACAAACTGTAACAAATAGGTTCTAACAGTGTATAAATAAGAAATAAAAAAGAAAAAAAAATATAGCAAGAAATGTAAGAACATATCCAAATAAAGATAGAAAAATGGGTTTTAGTTAAATGAGCTACCTAGGTAAATCTTGACTTTTAAACTTGTAAATACAACAATAATCGGCAAAGACAACTTCTGGATCGATAGAGAACAAAAAGCTTCTGCAATATCTGCCCACAATGTAACAGACAACTCTTCTTTTCTGTGCACAAAACAAATGAGAAATAAACACTAAATTCTCTTCCTAGCCTAACAGAGAAAATGATATTAACAATTAGATTTGCAACAATTGAGGAAAACAACAACCTGATATTCTCAATGCGTATATCACACTTCTGCGCTACTCTTTGATTAATCTGTTTTGATTCCAATTGCTGGACCGCAGTTATATGGCCAATTACATCTTATAATTTAAAAAGTTAATACAAAAATAATGTCAAAACTCATTTCATTGAAAAAACAACAGAAATGTTTTTAATTGATGGACATGTAGATACATACATATATATATATAGAGAGAGACAAATATACACGTATTGATGTTACCTGTAAGAATATCATCTCTGTTCAGACGGGGATAGAGCATGTTGAAATCTAGTAGGAAAAATCGATGTCGAGGGATGGGTGGAAAGACGGTAGACAGTTTTTTAAACACTGTTGTACCAGTGAATATAACCTGGGTTTCATGCGGTACCACTTTATACCGTCCTCTGATTTTGATGGTGCGAAATTTCATGATTTCGTAACAACTACCAGCGTCAATCTTTGAGGCTACCGGTTCACAATCGAAGTCTGACGCAGATGCTTCAACCGCATTGTTCTTCGTAATTGATCACATGCCATATTAAGAAAAAAAACAAAAAAAGAATAATAACATAATTAAAAAACTTATGAGCAAGTAAATAGCAAAAATCATTATATTTTGGTACGTAGAGATTGAATGAGCACAATGGGTAAATAAACTAACTGAAAATTTGTCAACTGTCACAACCAAGATTTACAAAACACTTTAGACATGTTAAAAAATCAAACTGTTGAAAAAAAAAAGAAATATAAAAAACATAAATATAAATTAACAAACTAACAAATGAAAAAAAAAAAACTTATGACATAACTATAACTGTTAAAATACTTAATTTAAATTATGGGACAATGATGGCTTACCGTTTCATCAACCAAGATACAGTGTAGTGTTACGTATTTGTGAACAGTTGCAGAAATGCTAGATTTCCATATCCTACAAACACGAATCTTTATTTTGGCTGCTTTAGTGTAAGGACACAATTCTGCAATAGGGGTGACCTTAACTGTTTCCATTGAATCTGTTAAAAGAGAAATAAATTTTATAAAGATAAAAATCAGCATAACACAAATCTGTAAACAAATATGAAAGAAAGGATTGATTTCTTTCATTCCTAATTAAATAAATGGTTAAAATAATTTGTGGGTAAATGACTACAAACATTACAAAAGGTGTTGTTCTCTTCGCTAATAAACTGCGGGATTCATCAACATCCGTCAAACTCCTACTTCAATTTTACAAAAGCAGCACAGAAAAAATAAAAAATAGAAAACAAAGTTTGACAAAGGGGCACATCGACAGCAAAGTTGCAACAAATTAAGGAAAAATGTTGAATCAAACAATTGGATAACGTTTTCTCATGCACCCAAAAAAACCCACAAACTCAAAACCACAAAAATCTAGTCTAAAACATTGAATCATATACTTGGATGCACAAAAGATAAACTAACAAATTCAAAACGAAGCACACTATCCTTCGAATTAAAAGCACATAATTTCAAAACTTTTCACCTTAAACACAAATGTCTTCGCAGGGTGCAAATAAAAACCTTACATTGATTTCGTATTTTCCGAGCAACCGCAGGCTGCAGAATTGCACAAAAGACCGACTAAAAGCAACAACACGAAAATTTGCTACGACCCGAAGCAGGAATTTTTGAGGCAAAAAGGATTTAAGCTGTGAGAATGACGGTGAAACAAAGATGGAAATGAGAGGAAACAAAACGGGTTAAAGCGACAGTGAAGCAAAAAAGTTGAAAATGAGCGGACCAAAACGGAACAAAATAAAACCCAAACAAAGCACCACGCGATGACCAACACGTGGGCCTGACAAAACTGTGCTGCATCATATTTTTGTGTTAGGAGAGGCCCTGTTAAATTGATTGTGCATCATATTTTTTAATATTTTTTCGATCCCTCCACCAGTTATACATGGATTTAAAAAATGAAGAAGGTATAAATTGTTATGGTTAGTTGTGCCACAAATCACGTGGCCCTGTTTTAATCACATTTTAAAATTTTTTTTTTCTTTTCCCAACTGCTATTACATAGGTATGCTAAAAGAAGAAAATATTAAAAAACAAAAACCAAAGACACCAAACCAGCTTTTCACATTTTTTAATCATTTTTTATTCTTTTTCGGTCCCTCCACCAGTTATACATGGATTTAAAAAATGAAGAAGGTATAAATTGTTATGGTTAGTTGTGCCACAAATCACGTGGCCCTGTTTTAATCACATTTTTAAATTTTTTTTTTCTTTTCCCAACGGCTATACATATGTATGCTAAAAGAAGAAAATATTAAAAAACAAAAACCAAAGACACCAAACCAGCTTTTCACATTTTTTAATCATTTTTTATTCTTTTTTGTCCAACAACCCATTACTTTATCATTTTTGATCTGTTTTTGTGCCATAAATCTTGCGTGTGTAACGTTAGAAAACTAAGAACAGGTCAAAGAGAACAACTACCAACCAAAAGCAAGTCAGATAGACAGACGTGCAGAATAAAAAAAGTAAATCATCTTCCCTAGAAAACACAAAACCCACTCACGGAAACAAAGAAGCCATGCATAACCGGCAAATATCACAAAATGAGGTCAAATTCGGGATTTTACTGTACAAAAAAGACAAAAATGAGCGCCTGACGACCAACTTGAGGGGCATTTTGGTCCGCACATTGCCCTAGAACAGTAACCATCCGTTGGAGTTTTAGTATATATAGAATATGGTAAAATACCAGCTGAATTTAATAAGAAAGAATTCAGACCACAACACTATAGTTGATGATTAAATCAACAGCATAATGTTTTGTTGAGATTCTGTTTCAGCATGCACTAAGAATAATCTCAATGGCCTTTCCTCTTCTACAGGCCCTGAAGATTTCGGAATCCGGATCTTGGGTTCATTTGGTTTCTGCAAAATGAATTCATAAGCTCAAAACTCAAAGCTTTCCCAAAAATTCTTCATATCATAATTTTATATTTTTTTTCTCGAAAAATAGAGAACTAACTGACCATCTGTTGTGCAGAAGCGTCAAATATGAAACCAATAAGCTACAGCGGCAAAATATGATAAGACAAATAATCCAAATAACACAAGGATTTATATTGGTTCGGCGTAAGCCTACATCCAGTTCCGAGACGGCAAGGAAATTCCACTAATATCAAAAGGAGATTACAAATAGAGTTTTAACTCTCAAACTCAAATCCCACATACACCCAATAGCTCTAACTCTCACAAAGAACAATTTGGAGAAGATGGACACACATCAAATACCATCTCTCCCAAAAGCTACACAACATGTAGCAACATCTTTGATTGAGGGATTACTAACAAAAGGGGATTACAAACAAATGGGAAGGAGCATCACTATTTCAAATGGGAGAGCCGAACGCTCTCCCTGGTATGGCTTTCATCTGATGTCGCTCCCCCCTCTTTTCTTCTCTCGGCTTCTCCTCAAACATATAGCAGCTGCTGCTGCCTTAGAAACTACCAAAAGAAAAGCTCTTTTGTCAAGTTGCAAAGGAAGGAGCCGAATAAACCCAATTCCATTTGCCTATAAAAAAATCCAAAGTAAAGGCTTCCTTTACAAACATCATCATAACCTTCCTTTTTCTTTTCAACAAACATCATCATTGTGTCTTTACTCATGATGATGTCCACCAAACTTTTCTTTGTTTAATAGCCGAAAGGAGAGTTGGCTTGTTGTCCACTATCCAACACCATCTTCTTCCTTGATGAAACACTTGAGAAAGAAAGCGAAGCAGCTTTGAATCTCAGCTGCTGAATACTCTATTCTTCCTCCCCAACTCCTCCATAACTCCCATAAGAGAAATTTTCATGCGACCTCTTTCCAGCAGCTGCAAAAAAGATATCAAATTTAAAAACGAATTCCAAAAACAAAGCAAGAGAGTGCATTTGGACGTTGGTTTGGGTGCAGAGGCGGTGGAGGGACGGTGGGTTGGTGGTGTAGGCGGTGTAGATGGGGATGGATGGTGATGGGTGGTGATGGGTTTGGGTGGGCTGCCCATTTGAGGGTTTGGGTTAGTTTGGTTGGGTTGCTAAAGCTAGAGACTTGAGAGGGAGGTGGGTGTATTGAGAAATAGGACAGATTGGATTGGAGAAATTGTGGTTTTGATGGAGAAGAAGAGGGAGGGGAGAGAGAGACCAGCGTAGGGAAGCTGCCATTTCAAGAGGAATGACAGATACAATCCCCCACATCATGCACCCTCTGCGACCAAGCCCCCCTCCTCTCCCAAAATCACGCCCCCAAATCTTTGCATCCAACCCCCTCTCCTCTCTCCCCCAAATCACGAGATCAGATCTTCTGCACCCAACCCCCTCTCCTCTCTCCCACAAAATCACGCCCCCACCCTTGGGCCCCCAAAACAACAGCCCAACCGGCTGATTTGGGTGAAGCACAACCCACACACAGAGACAATGGCAGAAACGTAATTAATTCAAAATTGAGTTTATCGAGTTGATTGTAGATGATATTTTTAAGAAATTGCTCAACATCTCATCAAGTGAAAAGAATGGCTTGGTTGGAATGGATTCCCGCTTACAGAAAATGGATTAACTGTTATGTCCCGGGGTGGATGATGTTCACTTTGTTGGAAATGCAAACTCAGTTTCACCATGGACAAACAAGTCGTTACCGCCCAAAACAGAGGTTTTTTTTTAGCTCTGTTGATGGTGACTGTCAACTACATTGTTCAAACTGCTCAAAGGTTATCAATAAAAGGTCTCCGGTGTCTCATTCATCACAGGCAATGAAGAGGCAAGGATCACAGGAGCAATGATGTTGACACCAATACCTTTCGGTACAAACTTTTTTTCACACTTTTGGCAACGAAGGTAACTAAAGCCTAGTACTTAGAATACTATCATCTACGGACAGACGACAACTGAAATTCGTTTCTCTGTATATAGTTTCCGGCATATTATAAGCAGAAAGTTGACTAACCAAACAAATTCCAAGTTTAAATTTAATGAAGGAATGTTGAACACCGTTTGGTCTAGTTTGAATGTATTCGCAGGTAATGAACAGTAAGTCAACCGAAATTCATTCAGAGTAGTACATGAAAAGAAACGTACCCAATAGCGTTATGCTATAACTTCAGCTGGAGTATTATCAGGAGCACAAGACCCCAAGCTAATCTGCTTAACAGCCTCAATCTGGACTGCCTTTGGATCCTCCCTAGCACTCAATTCCAAAGCCAATTGAATCTGATACTCTTCTGCTATATCAGCATCCCTCGAGGTACTAGACCCCGAATCGCGCCTACCTGTATCCGAAACAACATCTAAACTACTCCCACTAACAGCTGCATCAGGTGGCTGCTCCACTCTCGCTGCCCTATTGACATTCGAAGATGATGGGGGACTAGGGCCATGCTTATTGGCAACTGAATTCAACCGACCCGAAATCCCCGAGAAGGGTTTATGCTCAGAACCCTGATGGGACCTCGAGTGCAAAAGCCATTCAGTTTCAGGGGATGACTTACTAATGGACTTGTTACCCCTTGATGAAGCTGCAGACCCTTCTGAATCTTCTGAATGGTTGGACATGATATGCAGTTTCTTAAGAAGGTTCTTCATATCGTTTTCATAAGTCACAACAAAATCGAAGGCCAAAGAAATAAAAATCTGGCCATAAACATCTCCATTGTCTTGGACCAAGCATGAAATCCTAAGCACTATATCACCACAAAGCAAGCAAACTGAAAAGCAATCCAAAAAGCCCTTTTTGCAGAAGCACTTCACAGAGCCCTTCACAGGGTAAAAAACCCCCACTCATATCCAAAAGCCAGAAATCACTATTCCAAGCAATACCCCAGTAAAGTTTCAACCTTTACCAATACCAAGAAAGACTTCATTTACACAAATTCAGAGGGCTCATCCACTGTAATTTGCAGACATAGAAATGTTAAGATAAAAGGAAATGCAAACTACCTTTCACCCAAATTTGCAACGGGAATTGACATAGCAATATCTTCACAGTTTCTGCACAAGCACAAATCAAAAGTACAAGAAAAGCAGCACATAAGCAATTGAACCCCGCCAAACACGAACGAAAAGATCGGCAACAAATGTATTCCACATGTAGAGATATTGGGTTTGGATTTTGATTACCTAGAAATTGGGGGGTTGGGGCCGAGAGGAACCCTAGCCAAGACGGAGCTCCGTAGTGGATGCCGATGATGTTTTAGAGAGTAGTACAGGTGTCAAAATGTCAGCATGCCCGTTTTCAAAATCTACTAGACGATCCCAAAAGCTTACTAAATCCTCACAGTTGACAGGATACTGAGAAAGATTTGTGCACTCACGGAGATCGAGAGTTAAAAGTTGCGCCAAATTACATAAAGTGTCGGGAAGATGTACAAGGCTTTTGCAGTTTCTCAGATTTAATAACACAAGCCGCTGAAGCCTTTCAATCGAGGGGGGAAGCTCTTTGATAGATGTTCCATCCAAATGAAGCACTTTTAATCCCTCCATATTTTCTTCAATGCTTGGAAACACCTCAAATTTTGTACAACCAGAAAGAGAGAGACAATATAGGAATTTAAGTTGACAAATGCTACTTGGAAGAGTCTTAATTTCCTTGCAGTCTTTTAAGTCCAAACTTTTCAACTTCGTGAGATTATTAATTGACGATGGCAGTTCCTTAATTTTTGACCTGGATAAATTAAGCTCTGATAGTTCCTCCATAACTGCTGAAATCTCTAGAAACATCTCAAGACTCGAGCAGCTAGAAAGATCAAAGGTTATGAGAGATCTCATATGAATGATGCTTGGAAGACTCTTAAGTTTCTTGCAATGTCTTAGGTCCAAATATCTCAAACCTTTGAGATTATTAATTGATGAGGGCAGTTCTTTAATTTTTGACTTGGATAAATTAAGCTTTGGTAGTTCCTTCATAATTTCTAAAATCTCTGAAAACATCTCAAGACTCGAGCAGCCAGAAAGATCAAGGGTTTTGAGAGATTTCATACAAATGCTTGGAAGGCTCTTAAGTTCCTTGCAATCTTTTAGTTTCAAATATCTCAACCCCGTGAGATTATTAATTGATGAGGGCAGTTCTTTAATTTTTGACCTGGATAAATTAAGCTCTGATAGTTCCTCCATAACTGCTAAAATATCTGGAAATATCTCAAGACTCAAGTAGCCAGCAAGATCAAGGGTTACGAGAGATCTCATATGATTGATGCTTGGAAGGCTCTTGAGTTCCTTGCAATCTTTTAGTTTCAAATATCTCAACCCTGTGAGATTATTAATTGACGAGGGCAGTTCTTTAATTTTTGACCCAGATAAATTAAACTCTGATAGTTCCTCCATAACTTCTAAAATATCTGGAAACATCTCAAGACTCAAGCAGCCAGAAAGATCAAGGGTTACGAGAGATCTCATATGATTGACGCTTGGAAGGCTCTTGAGTTCCTTGCAATCTTTTAGTTTCAAATATCTCAACCCCGTGAGATTATTAATTGACGAGGGCAATTCTTTAATTTTTGACCTTGATAAATTAAGCTCTGATAGTTCCATAACTGCTAAAATCTCTGGAAACATCTCAAGACTCGAGCAGCCAGAAAGATCAAGGGTTTTAAGAGATTGCATACGAATGTTGCTGGCTAGAATCCAATAAAACAAGGTTTGTAAGAGTTGAAATAGATGGGTGAACCTCAACTAAACTTGTACAATGTCTAAGAATTAGCACCTCAAGATTTGGCACCTTTGTGAAGTCAGGGGTTTCCTTAAGGGATTGACAATATCTTAAATCGATGAATTTCAACTTTTCCAGCGTCTGTTAAAACATTCAGGAAAACATGCATTACTTAATAAGACATGTCAAAACCTAAACATTTAAAGAATCATATACATGTAAATGATGATCTTACGTACCTGGGTTCCTTCCCAAAGTCGGTCAATGCAACTATGTCGCATGTCAAGGTAAACAAAATTTTTTAATTGAAAGTTGGATGACAAAGACTTAAGGGGCAACGAAGCCAGAAGAGACACCTCAACTCACGAAAAAGAAACTTTAAGTGCCCAATCAGGTGTTGTTTGTCGGAAGACTGAATGATCATGAGAAGTCTTAGTTGAGTCATACTATCAAAAGCTTCAGCATTTAAGCATACCTCACTTGAGTTCGACAAATCCAAGATTATGCTTTCAACTGCTTTTATACCCTGTGCAAATCAAAGTGAAGGAAAAAACAGAGAACCTTTGTTTAGATTGTGAAGTTAATGCTTGTTTCTATTTTTTGATGGAAAGTTAATGCTTGTTTCTTAAGGAGCCATTTTATAATCATTTTCTTTTCCGTTTTTAATTTTTGTTTGTCCATTTTTTTAAATATGAAAATAGAAAACACATAACTTGTTTCGTAATCGTTTATAATTTTCAATTATTAAAAAAAAATCAAAACTAAAAATTAAAAATTGTTAACAAAAATCGTTCCCAAACTGGCCTAAGAAATAAATTTTGGTCAAAAGTTGAAGCTTTCTACTAAACATTGCATAAGAAAATGATTTCTCACCGTATTTTCAGTTAGCACACGATGAACATCTCCATAACTCCACAACCTGCTTCGTCTCCCTGGCTCTTTGATAGATTCTTGGCGAACTATTTCCCGACCCATTTCCTGTAGTGAATCATGCATCTCCAGTTCCCCCTTCCGTGAGACAGTTATGAGAGCTCGATCGATTAGAACTCTTATACCTGTACGAGGATAGAAACCACAACTGTCCAGAATTTCAATTGCATAGTCTTTTTGCATTCCTTTAAAGAAACATGCAATATCTAGAAAGATGTCTTTCTCTGTGTCATCTAGTCCATCGAAGCTTGTTTTAAGCACATCATAAATTTCTCGTCGTGGGATTTCCCTTATTTTTATTAACACATCTTCCCACTCGCGTACAGTTTTTTTATCAAGAAAAGCTCCCAAGACTTTGAGTGCTAAAGGCAGACCCTTAGCATATTTTACAGCACACCACGAAAGATCATCATAATCTTTGGTGGGTTGGTTTGTTCTGAAGGCATACCGCCTAAAGAGTTTCAGAGCTCTAGCACCACTGAAAAGCTTGGGGCTATATATCGCATCAGCTCCGCTTAGTAATTGCACATCTCTAGTTGTTATAATAATTCTACTTCCACCACCAAAAGAATGTTCCTTTCCGAGTAAGGCTTCAATTTGAGCTAATTTGTCTACATCATCAACAACAAGAAGAACTTTTTTGTGACCAAGGCTTTTTAACATCACCTGGAAACCATTTTTCAATATGTCGAAACTCTCCACCTTGTTTCCCGAGATACTAGATAGAAGTTCTGTCTGCATATGTTGTTCGCCATGCTTCATGAAACCCACCTTGACATTTTCAAGAAAGCAACAAGCTTCAAATCGACAAGCGATTTCGTCGTAAACAGCTCTAGCGATGGTTGTTTTGCCTAAACCACCCATACCCCATATTCCTACAATGCGAACATCACCCAACTCCACCCCAGGAGGACCAGGTTGTAATCGTAAATGCATTTCGTGCATATGAGAATCCATTTCAACCAAGCCATTATCTTTGCATGGTGTTGATGAGATGTGCCTTAATTTTCTAAAAACATCTTCCACAATTTCCTCTATAAGCTTTGCATCCTCCCTGTCAAATTAAAAAAAAAAAAATATATATATATATATATATAATAACAACACCAAATAACAAGTTTTCATCTGCTAGTTTAAAAAAAAATGAAAACTAAAAACTTAAAACAATAACCCCTAAACCCTACAAAAATCTCAAAATTAATAGGAAACTAAAACAAATTAAAATTTACTCATAGTTTCGCGAATCCCAGCCGGATAAACTGGTGGCAGTTGTAAGAGCGGATCTCCAGCTCTGAACCTCTTCCATTTCGACGTTAGAATCGTGATCGTGCTGATCAAAAGCTTCCGCGAATTTTCTCTTGAGTTTACGAACATCAGACGGATCAACTTCGTAGAAAATGGGGAGTACAATCTGTTCCTTGGTATCCTTGCATTTCAAGATTTCCACGAGTTCTTTCAAGCACCAAGTGGAAGAAGCATAGTTTTGAGAGAAAACAACAATCGAAAGCCTTGACTCTCGAATCGCTGTCAGGAGCTCGGAAAGGCGGTCTCCTTTTCCGAGCTCTTGGGCATCGATGAAGGTGTTGATTGTTTTCTGACGCAGAGCTCTGTAAAGATGGCTGACAAAGCCTTTGCGAGTCTCTTCCCCTCTGAAATTGATGAACACTTCATATTTCCATTGAGGGCCAGAAGAAGAAAAAGCAGCCATTGATCGATCGCACCTGGTCACCGATGAGCATCAAAGATGAAGAGGAATTTAAGAACAGAAATACTCGATTGATCTACAAATTGGAGGAAAAGTAAGAAAAGTTATGTTTTTCGCATCTTCTTCCAAGAAATAACGGTGCCAGCGAGATGCTCAAAAAGAGAAAAAGGAAAGAATGCTTTATGTTTTTCGCATTTTCTTCCAAGAAAGACCGGTGTCGGTCAAAAGTGATGCTAGAAAAGGTAAAAGGAAAGAATACTTTATGTGTTGTAATCTTACAAGCCACTCAATGTCCGGATAGTCAACCCACTACAACTCTACATGTTTGTCCACTAATCCACTTGCTGCTCATCCTTCCATATAAAATCACACACAAAAACACAAAGCCTTACGGCTGAAAAGAGAGAAAAGAAAGAAGAAAGAAGAGAGAAGAAAAAGAGAGGAGATAATAGAGAGAGTTATCTTTGTAATCTTATTACTTCATATTATAAATGAAAGCATCACTGCTACTTCGAGGACATACTTCAGTCACACTGACTGTAAAGGAACCTTATAAATTTTGTGTCTTGTTTATTTATTCCACTGCACACACCGTCGATTTTACAACATAATGGTTTTTTTCCCATCTTCTTTCAACAAAGAATTGCGCTGGCCGAAGAGATGTTCAAATTTCACTTTGTAGAATGGGCTAAAATGCACACTCACACTGGTGTGGTTTGGAAAAGTATAAGGCCTGGCCCACGACCATTCACTATTCAACGGTCATTCTCTCGTCTTCTCTTAATAATTTTGGACAAGACATATAATGCTATGTTTATCACGTATTTTTACCATCATTTGTATTATTTCTAATAGAGATAGGAATCGCCAACCCATGTGAATTATTTTTTATTAGAAAGATTATACAAATGATAGTATAAATAAGTGGTAAAAATAGCATTTTTGTTTAAAATGATGCTTTCATACGTCATTTATTATGCCTAATTTTTAAAATTTCCAATCATATTGTAGTAAGTTTAAAATTTGGTACCAAATTATAATTTTATTTCAAAGATCGTTTTCTTGGTTGTTCAAAGTTCGAATGAGAGTGGTCATGGAGAAAGAAGTGGAGATGGAGATAGAGGTGTTGCTCGGATGGCAGGGGAATAGCAAGATGAACCCTATATTTGCCATTCATTATTTAATGGTCAATTAAACAGAATTTCTATCGGATGTATGATATTAAAATAAAATTATAAGTAATGTATGACACTGAAATGTTTTCAAAATGTTGTAAGCGATTGCAATTAATCTCAAACTTGATGGGGTAAAACATAATTTACTCTAGATTTTATGTACTCAATACTGCTATTCGTACATTGAAATCTTAGATTATACAATTTTACAAACAAATGATCACGCAAGTGACTATGAACACGAAAGAAGGTAAGTAAACGTTACGGCAGGACCGGGAAAACTTTCTCCAAGAAATTGATGAAACGCTTAGCGTACAGCTCCGGTTCGACAGCAGAAACGCGTTGAGGGTCAAACTTCGACGATTTGTAAGCGTGCTCGAGTTTCTTGTTCTCATTGTACTCCTGCAATATGTCGATTATCCCCATATAAAGAACCACGTCGTAGAATTCAAATAGTTCTACTTCTGTTGAATTGACCTCTTCCCGCACAATCTTACGATTGGCCCGGGCCGGCATGTCTACACCTAGTTGCACCCTTAACCTGAGAAAAATTCAGCTGACGGTAACTATGTGCTGCTCGAACAATGAATGAAACACAGAATTCAACAACAGTTTTCAAGCTATGAATTTCTATGTTTTCAGCAATCTAATTACCGTTGCTTGACCGTGCTACTAAGTCACTCGCGTCAGCATACTATTCAAATCAGATGAAAGCTGATTAGAAGGTTAGGCCACGTATCATGAATCTTCTGTTGAAATTTATTTGGTTTATTTAGGAAATTAATTAGAGATTTGATTTGATTTTGTAGTTGGGTATTTTTGGCATTTAAGCATTAGGGTTTCTTAGGTTTATTGCTCTATAAATAGAGCTTGTAGTTTAGTTTGAGGATCAAGTTATTCACAATGTAGTCTCTTAGGCCTCGTTTGGCACGCCGTATAAGACCACCGGATAGTATTAATAGTACGAAACAGATGTTTGGTGAACTTCGTATTAAATAAGCACCGGATTATTTAATCCGGGCCCACTCATTTTATACTCCTCCCACCCGCTTATTTATCCCAACCAAAACCTCCGTATAATTTAGTCGGGTCATCTCTCTCGCTCACTTCGTCCCCCTCTCTCTCGCAGCACTCTCCTGGCTCACTTCGTCCCCCTCCTTCGTCCCCCCATTGCTCCGCCGCTCCTTCCTTCCCCAATAACACCGACCCCCGAACCTCCACATCTCCTCCGCCGCTCCCAGCAACCCAACTCTTTCTTTCTGCAGAATTCTCAGAACTCGAGCTGCAAAACGCTAACTTTTCGAATTGGGTTTCTCTAGGAATTGTAGAGAATTATAGGACTGGAGATGTTTTGAGTTTTTAGCTTAATTGTTCCCTGATTTTGTTGATGGATTTGGGCGATTTGGGGGTGGGACGGAGAGATTTGGGACAACTTTGTGCCTGCTGGGTTTATGGCTGCTGGGTTCTTCCTGCATTTGACAACTTTGTTTTTTTCTATTCTTTTTCTTTTCCAGTAATCATCAAACTGGGTTTTGGGGGGGGGGGTGCAGAGAGATCTACGACTGAGAGAGAGGGAGGAAGTTTGGGGGGTGCAGAGAGATTTGCGGAAAAAAAAAGATGATTTCAATATTTTTTTTATTTTATTTTAAATTTGATTTCTCTTATCCGGTATAATACCAAATACAGTATAAATAATACGATCATTAATCCGATACTGCACCAAACGCCCGATTAATTTAGTCAGTACTATCCGATGACTATTTATCCTATCCGACAGAAATAGTCAGTACAGTCCGAGCTGCCAAACGAGGCCTTAAGGTTTTGTAGCCGTTCCGGCATTCTCGGTTGTTTAATAATATTCTTATTTTTTGTTAATCTCGTTCGTTGTGTACTCTGATATTCAACTTGGTATCAGAGCGGGTTCGATCATTTGGATCCAATTTGCTCTTGTATGGTATCAGTTTGTTTTGTCAGTTTTTGTTCTTTTGGTTTAGTTTTGGTCTCGATTACGCTTTCGCTTCCGCTTCGGTCTGTGTCCTTTGTTCTTCTTGGTCACTCTGTTTATGTTCCTTTTTTTGTCTTTGGAAATTTAGTATTGATAGTCGTAGTAGTCTAAAAAAAAAAAAAAGGCTTGATTGTTTTTTTGGAGGCTCACACGAGGATGAGAGAAATATTGGGGTCGTTTTGTTTCTTCTCTCTCCAGGTTGTTCTCTGGATCTTGAATTTTTTGTGGGTTTCAATGTGTCCTTTTTAGGTTGTGAAGTTTGGGGTTGGATCCGGAAAATAGTGGTCGTTTGTTTTTGAGTGGTTTGGTTGTTTTTAAGGCTGCTTGTATTGGGAGGTTTGGTGTTGCCTTCCGTGACGATTGCTCGAGTGTTTGGACTGGTGACTACTCGAGTAACGTTGCGAAAGTTGGGTTTTTTGCTTGCTTGTTTAGGTTTGTTCTGGAGTTCGCAATTGGCATTAGCATTGGAATCTTGCATTGGCACTGGCATTGGGATCTTGTACTTGCACCGATGGAATTTCGTATTGAAATTGGCATCGGCATCAACATCGATATTGGTATTGGCATTAGAATTGGTATTGGCATTGGTATTGGCATTGGTATTGGTATTGGCATTGGCACTGGCACTAGCACTGGAATTTGGAGTCTTGCATTCGCATCTGCTTGTTGGCAACCTCATGACGTATACCGCCATGAGTTTGACGGGGGGTGTTGAAATTTATTTGGTTTATTAAGGAAATTAATTAGAGATTTGATTTGATTTTGTAGTTGGGTATTTTTGGCATTTAAGCATTAGGGTTTCTTAGGTTTATTGCTCTATAAATAGAACTTGTAGTTTAGTTTGAGGATCAAGTTATTCACAATGTAGTCTCTTAAGATTTTGTAGCCGTTCCGGCATTCTTGGTTGTTTAATAATATTCTTATTTTTTGTTAATCTCGTTCGTTGCGTACTCTGATATTCAACTTCTTCTAGGATGTCGTTTCACTCATACGAACGTAACTGAAGATCCAAACGCTTATGGTGTCAAACTTCAAAATATATCAGAGCGCAAAAGTGCGAATAGTAAGTGTAAAAGTACAAACAATAGAAGTACCTTCCTGTACCAGGGAGCAAGAGATTGACTTCTTTGTCACCGAGAGAATAAGCTTTCAACGGACTTCCTCTGATGTGAGGACCTGGTGCAGTACTGACAGAGCCAGGTTCATGGGTTACCAGTAAAAGACCTTTAGGAGGAATCAAAAGCTCCCCTTGCAAAGTCACACCTATTCCAATTGGAATATAAGTTCAAATATGAAATACGTAAAATGCGAGGAGATAAGGGAATTCGGTTGGTATTAAAAGCATGGCTGGAGGGAAAGACAACATTGTTCCATTCAATGTCATTTTCATTATGTTTCTTTCCCATTTCTTCATTCTTCCAAGTGCGTGCCATTTCGAAGTTATGAAAATCAAGATTCCAAATGGCGCTAGACGCTAGTCGGCCGCCCAGATGTCAATAACATGGTAAGGATCCATATTCCACCCCCTTAGTGGCGTGAGGATGTTCCAAATCCCAAAATGTCGACTGGTACTAAAGTCTGTTGGCCCGAATTTTAAATTGTAATAAGAACTAGGCCAGTTGCCGAGTTGCCATTAATTGCTCAGATTTTTTTTTTCCTACAGTCCTTTTTCTGCGTTTGTATGACTTTACTGTTTCCAGGGAAAGAAATCATTAATTGGAAAACTATTTGCATCACCAAATAGAAAAGAAATCAGAACATACGTAAAACAAATACAAGTTCATTTGAAAAGTACTTATAATCAGAAAGAGATGCTTACCATCATCAGCAGGTAAACTCTCATGGTTGTGCATTGCAGCAGGAGGTTGTGAAAATCCCTTCAGATCCTCGGGAGCTCTAAAATGTAGACCCAACAGAAGGCTATAATCGATAATTTGCTGAGATTGTAGAAACTTGCAGTCTAGTGATATTTGTCTGCAAAACAAAGAGGAGGAAAGATTCCAAGAGATGATTAAAATGCGGAAGAGCTTACTCAGCCAGTTCTTAACTTCTTATTAACATTATCTTTTTGGGGACACATGCATAATCGATAAGCACCAAATCTACGAGATGTGATCGCACAATGTATTATTGATTGTAGATCCACATAAAGCGTTGAGACTTCATCAGATTATCAAGCCTGTTATCGGAAGAACAAAATATAGTACTGAAAAGTAGTGTTATAACTTATAAATGAAAAACAACAACGTAAATTGCAGGAACGTAGGAGAATTCTTATATCAAATCCATTTTGATTGGAAATCTAAAATTGACTTAAAGCTTATTGAACTGACTAATAGCATTTGGAACATGTTTTACGTTTCCTGTCTTAACGTTGAAAGTAAATAAACTAATCAACCACAGGAGATTTGAAGCATTTTAACTTACAAATCAACAAGGCAAAGAATTGATTTCCAGGGACTACACAGTTTCTATGTACCAAGATGCATGATACAAATTTACTGGTGAGGTTGAAATATCCCTCCAACCGGCTTGGCTCTTCCTCAAGGCAAGCTTTACAGGTCATAATCCAAAGATAGGATGCAGAGGACTGGAAGAAACTAATGCAGGACATATATCTAAGGGTTAGATTCTATTGCAAGTGGTTTTGGAGAATTAGACCTCGGACCGAGTATGTTATATTGCATAAGTTTATTAATCTTATGATCAATGAAGTTATTCCAGAGAGATTGTAACCGAAAAAAAAAAGTTATTCCAGAAGGATGCTAATGAAAATCACTCACAGGTAATCACTAATACCTTTTCTAAAATGTAATAAATGAAATTAAAAAAACCGCAACAAATAAAAACTCACAAGGACTTGCTTAAAAAGTTCTCCTCGCAACAGTTTGTCCATATGAAATTCAAATTTCAGATCGAGATCTTTCAATGTGGTATTCTCATCAATTTTATCTTTGTCTGTACATCTTCCAATAGTTGAACCCTTCAAATCATAACGGCGATGAATTCGTAATTCAGTGCAAAACATATTCCCCATGACCATAAACCGTTCCTAAAAACAATGCATTTAGAATAAGTCACACCAACCGAGGCGACATCCAATGAAGAACTGCAATCTGGTAGAGTGATAAGTTGCTCAATACCTTTTTTCCACCTTTTAACGTTATCCAATGGAGCCCAAATTTTTTTGTGATGAGAGTGTTTTCATGTTCGTCTACATGGCTATAATATCTAGGCAGCATCTTCAGCATAACCTGCATATGAATTGGGAAAAAGAAAATGATTCATAATTCCTTAACATCCTTCCCAAACTTGGATGAGATAAGTTAGTTGCCGAAGATAAAGCTAAAAATAAAATTGAGAAAAGCAAAATCTAAGTCCTCATATGGAGCTGATTGATCATTCTGTTCGAGTAAGAAGCAAAAGGAATATAAAGGGTCATTCAACGGCTTGGCACGACAGGAATTTTGAGTACAAAGAAGTTATCGTGTGTGTGTATGTAGCGTAGAAGTTTGCATGAGTTCAATCAAACCTTCAGTTCAGTTTTTCTTAAAGTCTTGATGAAAAATCTATCATCATGAGAAATATAGAAAATACTGCCACTTTTCCCCGGTGAAGAAATCTCTCGTAAACCATTGTCACCACAAACGGACATCATGTACTCTGCATCTAATTTAAACATCTCCCTTAAATTCCTGAAACGCGAAAGTTTCATCAGGCAGAAAGAGATCCAATTGCTTATTTGGGCAGATACAGCAGAAACATAAACTTGCGACCATACAATGTCCATATGGTTAAGACATGTATGATTCCAATTAAACTTGAACACATTTGAATATGACTCCAATTAAACAAGAAATTAGGTCAAAACATAAATGAATCAGATTTACAGATTTAACAGAAACATAGTCATTTTTAAAGTTCTATATTTGCAGATTCTCCACAAATATCACAATTACGGAGGCCAACCATGTAAATTGCATGCACGACAAGCACATTACCAAAAGGAAATAAGTCAATTAGGCCTTCTAGTGATAGAGCTATTATCTGCTAGTCTATTTTTAGTGCTTCCAAATGCTTGAGCTTAGCTATTAGGACATGGACCAATAATAGTTTAATTTCAAAGAAGTAACCCGCATGTGGGAACCCAAACTCCCCCTCCATAGGTAACATCTTCAATTGTTCGTTACTATTATTCCCAAATGCTTAACCTATTAGAGCTTGAACCAAGTAAAAGAGTCCATGAATTTCCATATTGTGTACCAAGTTGGTAAAAATTGAGCTCAAAAGAAGTTGATTCCTCCACTCTCAATATGGTTTATCGTCTGCAAATGCAATAAAAGAATCATAAACTTAGCAACACCGCCAATTTTTGCATAGCAAAAGAAGCAGATATACGTTCTAAGCAAAAAAATTTCGCCCCTCATAACTCACCAAAAAGCAAACAAAATTTCAAACAAAATGGCTAGCACAATCTAAAATAGGAGCAAAAAAAAACACTAAAAAAAAGCTAAATTTATTACAAGAAAATAACTCACCATAGTGCTTCCGTAGTACTTCTGGCACCACACAGTAAGGGCTCCCAACAACATCAGTGAATGTTTCTCCTGGGAAGAATACGAGTTTTTGTTATAATGATATTGAAATGTGAAAAAAAAAAAAAACGCGAAATCACTTTCTTGTAGCGAAAAATTACGAATCAACGACATAATGAACAAATAAATTAAAGTAACTGAACCATTAAGAAATTAACAACACAGACGTCTACATTTATCAGTATCCCATCAATATATGCACCAAATTTTAGCGAATGCCGGTGATGTTTTACATTTATTGTTCTTACCGGTGATTACTGGATTACGTAAATGGTGCAGTGAAGACATCAGTGAATTATGCAAATGGTGCAGTGAAGACATTCACAAACTGAAAACAACAAATGGTGAAGTGAAGACGGTGAATCAACGCAGTCACAGATTAACAAATTGAAAACAACAAATAAAACCACAGAAAAAGAAAACAGCCAACTCACCTTGGAACAAAGAACATACGGACAGAAGAAGACTCAAAATGAGAGAAATGAAACAAATAAATAGACCTTCGAAATCTCCTAATTCATTTAAAAAACAAACCAAAGAATAATGTTATATGGGTGATATCAAACACAAGCAAACGTATACCAGAAAATTACTCCAGGCTTTGCCTGATATCAAACAAAAGCAAACTACTGTGAACTTTTAACTTCAAAACCAATCATCAATGATAGATACTAATATCTCAACTTTCGAAAAAAATTACTTACTTTGCCAAACCCAAACCTGCCTCACATTCGAAAGAAATGCACATTTTAAATTATCAATCATGATTCAGTGCATGAGTTTGTTCTCATATTTTCCCCTTTAATCTAACAACATATATGAAATTGAAGAGAGAGGATGAGAAATTTTTACCTCTGGGCGTGTCGACTCCAAGATTGGAGGTTTGGCCTTTGGATCCGCTCGTGTGGAGCCTGAATCTCGCGAGATCTGGGTTCAGGTTTTCTGAGACGGTGGTGTAGGCAACGGTCTTGGGGCTCTCATCTCTGATTTCTGAGCATGGATTTGCTCACATGGGGATGATGACGCCAAAACGAACCTCAAAGCTGTCACAGTCGCAGTCATAGATTGCAAAACCACGCCTCTTCTTTACTTGGTCTTCTTAATCCTCTCCTTAATTTCACTGCAAAATTCACACACAGATATAAATGACCAACCAGGGTCCTTGTGGAACAAAACCCGAAACTGAATTTCTCATCCTAATCAATTGATTCAATTTTTAACAAATACACATAAATATTAAAGAGCAACATGCCATGTTGAACAAAACAAATGATTGATCAACTTAAAGAGTGTCTGGGAATGCTTCGGTAAGGCTAAAAGTGTTTCTAGATACCAAAATTTGAGCAGAAATAGCTAAAAGTGCTATTGAATAGAATTAAATTGCAGTATCAATAGACTTCAATATTAACCGCTTACCCTCAAAAGACACGACAACAATGAATAGAATTAAATTGTAAGTGAACTAATATTTTGTACAACAAATATATACGGGATATACATTGCACAGATATACATGTTGCATAAAGTCTCACATGTTTCTGAAATGAAAACGCTACAAAACGAAGATATACGGCCAATTAATTCTTCAACCGCTAATGGATCACGGGATATTCTTAGCTGCCTTTGTAGTTCTTGTTTGTCAAATTCGAACACAACTCAGGAAAAATAAATATAAACACAAAGAGAGAAGAAGATATAAGACAATTACCTCTCTTTTGGCAGGAAGCTCATCCCAAACATAAATTCTGATATCTTCCTAAGCCTGTATTATGCAGGTCGTGTACTCAGTGAATATGCTTTCGAAAAAAGATCAACAAGCGTGCATTATTTCCTAAATTCCTATGAATTTGACATGCTAATTTACTGAAAGGATTTGGCAAAAAAGACTATGGGATTATAGAGACCTCAAAAATGAATGATGCACATACAGATCTAAATATGGGTAAAATACCAGCTGAATTTAATAAGAAAGAATTCAGACCACAACACTATAGTTGATGATTAAATCAACAGCGTAATGTTTTGTTGAGATTCTGTTTCAGCATGCACTAGGAATAATCTCAATGGCCTTTCCTCTTCTACAGGTCATGAAGATTTCGGAATCCGGATATTGGGTTCATTTGGTTTCTGCAAAATATGAATTCACAAGCTCAAAATCACAAAAATTTCCCTAAAATTCTTCAAATTATTATTTTATTTTATTTTATTCGAAAAATAGAGAACTAACAGACCATCTTCTTCCTTGATGAAACACTTGAGAAAGAAAGCGAAGCAGCTTTGAATCTCAGCTGCTGAATACTCTGATCTTCCTCCCCAACTCCTCCATAACTCCCAGAAGAGAAATTTTCATGCGACCCCTTTCCAGCAGCTGCAAAAAAGATATCAAATTTAAAAACGAATTCCAAAAACAAAGCAAGAGAGTGCATTTGGACGTTGGTTTGGGTGCAGACAGAGGCGGTGGAGGGACGGTGGGTCGGTGGACCGGTGGTGTAGGGGGTGAAGATAGCGATGGATGGTGATGGGTTTGGGTGGGCTGCCCATTTGAGGGTTTGGGTTAGTTTGGTTGGGTTGCTGCCGGCTAAAGCTAGAGACTTGAGAGGGGAGGTGGGTGTATTGAGAAATAGGACAGATCAGATTGGGGAAATTAGGGTTTTGCTGGAGAAGAAGAGGGAGGGAAGAGAGAGACCCGCGTAAATTGGGTTGAGAAGGGAAGCTGCCATTTCGTGAGGAATGAGAGATACAATCCCCCAAATCATGCACCCACTCTCTGCGACCAAACCCCCCTCTCCTCTCTCCCCAAAATCCCAAAATCACGCCCCCATATAACTGCATCCAACCCCCTCTCCTCTCTCCCCCAAATCACGAGATCAGATCTTCTGCACCCAACCCCCTCTCCTCTCTCCCCCAAAATCACGCCCCCACCCTTAGACCCCAAAAACAACAGCCCAACCGGCTGTTTTGGGGACAGACAATGGCAGAAACGTAATTAAATCAAAATCGAGTTTATTGAGTTGATTGTAGATGATATTTTTAAGAAATTGCTCAACATCTCATCAAGTGAAAAGAATGGCTTGGTTGGAATAGATTCCTGCTTACAGAAAATGGATTCACTGTTATGTCGCGGGGTGAATGATGTTCGCTTTGTTGAAAATGCAAACTCAGTTTCACTTGGCTAGAAAGACTTCATTTACACAAATTCAGAGGGCTCATCCACTGTAATTTGCAGATTTATAAATGTTAAGATAAAAGGAAATGCAAACTACCTTTCACCCAAATTTGCAATGGGAAATGACATAGCAATATCTTCACAGTTTCTGCACAAGCACAAATCAAAATATAAGAATAGCTCACATAAGCAATTGAAACCCGCCAAACACGAACGAAAAGATCGGCAACAAATGTATTCCACATGTAGAGATATTCTGTTCGAATTTTGATTACCTAGAAATTGGGGGGTTGGGGCGGAGAGGAACCCTAGCCAAGGCGGAGCTCTGTAGTGGATGCCGATGATGTTTAGGAGAGTAATATACGTGTCAAATTCAGCACGCCCCTTCCAATATCTACTTGATAATCCCACAAGCGTGCTAAATCCTCATAGTCGACGGGAAATTGAGAAAGATTTGTGCACCCACTGAGATTGGCAGCTAAAGGGCGCGCCAAATTACAGAAAGTGTCGGGAAGATGCACAAGGCTTTCGCAGTTTCCCAGATTTAATAACACAAGCTGCTGAAGCCGTTCAATCGAGGGGGGAAGCTCTTTGATAGATGTTCCATCCAAATGAAGCGCTCTTAATTCTTCCATATTTTCTTCAATGTTTGGAAACACCTCAAATTTTGTACAACCAGAAAGAGAGAGATAATATAGGGATTGAAGTTGACAAATGCTACTTGGGAGAGTCTTGAGTTCTTTGCAATCTTTTAGGATCAAAATTCTCAATCCCGTGAGACAATTAATTGACGAGGGCAATTCTTTAATTTTTGATCCGGATAAATCAAGCCCTATTAGTTGATCCATAACTTCTAAAATCTCTGGAAACATCGCAAGACTCGAGCAGCCATAAAGATTAAGGGCTGCGAGAGATCTCATATGAATGAAGCTTGGAAGACTCTTGAGTTCCTTGCAATCTTTCAGGTCCAAATATCTCAACCCTGTGAGATTATTAATTGATGAGGGCAATTCTTTAATTTTTGACCCGAATAAATTAAGCTTTTGTAGTTCCTCCATAACTTCTAAAATCTCAGGAAACATTTCAAGACTCGAGCAGCCAGAAAGATCAAGGGTTACGAGAGATTTCATACGAATGCTTGGAAGGCTCTTGAGTTCCTTGCAATTTGTTAGTTTCAAATATCTCAACCCCGTGAGATTATTAATAGATGAGGGCAATTCTTCAATTTTTAACCCGGATAAATTAAGCTCTGGTAGTTCTTCCATAACTTCTAAAATCTCTGGAAACATCTCAAGACTCGAGCAACCAGAAAGATCAAGGATTTTGAGAGATTTCATACGAATGCTTGGAAGGTTCTTGAGTTCCTTGCAATTTGTTAGTTTCAAATATCTCAACCCCGTGAGATTATTAATTGATGAGGGCAATTCTTTAATTTTTGACTCGGATAAATTAAGCTCTGGTAGTTCCTCCATAACTTCTAAAATCTCTGGAAACATCTCAAGACTCGAGCAGCCAGAAAGATCAAGGGTTATGAGAGATCTCATATGAATGATGCTTGGAAGACTCTTGAGTTCCTTGCAATCTTTTAGGTTCAAATATCTCAATCCTGTGAGATTATTAATTGACGAGGGTAGTTCTTTAATTTTTGACCCAGATATATCAAGCGTTTGTAGTTCCTCCATAACTTCTAAAATCTCTGGAAACATCTCAAGACTCGAGCAGCCAGAAAGATCAAGGGTTATGAGAGATCTCATATGAATGATGCTTGGAAGACTCTTGAGTTCCTTGCAATCTTTTAGGTTCAAATATCTCAATCCCGTGAGATTATTAATTGACGAGGGTACTTCTTTAATTTTTGACCCAGATATATCAAGCGTTTGTAGTTCCTCCATAATTTCTAAAATCTCTGGAAACATCTCAAGACTCGAGCAGCCAGAAAGATCAAGGATTTTGAGAGATTTCATACGAATGCTGCTTGAAAGACTCTTTAAGTTTGCTGGACCCATGCAGATCCAATAAAACAAGGTTTGTAAGACTTGAGCAGCCAGAAAGATCAAGGGTTACGAGAGATTTCATACGAATGCTTGAAAGGCTTTTGAGTTCCTTGCAATTTGTTAGTTTCAAATCTCTCAACCCCGTGAGATTATTAATTGACGAGGGCAGTTCTTTAATTTTTGACCCGAATAAATTAAGCACTAGTAGTTCCTCCATAACTTCTAAAATCTCTGGAAACAGTTCAAGACTCGAGCAGCCAGAAAGATCAAGGATTTTGAGATATTTCATACGAATGCTGTTGGCTAGAATCATAAGTTCGTTGCAGCCCCTCAGATCCAATAAAACAAGGTTTGTAAGAGTCGAAATAGATGGGTGAACCTCAACCAAACTTATACAACCTACAAAAATTAGCCTCTCAAGATTTGGCACCTTTGTGAAGTCAGGGGTTTCCTTAAGGTATTCACAATAGCTTAAATTGATGAATTTCAACTTCCCCAGCGTCTGTTAAAACATTCATGAAAACATGCATTACTTAAGAAGACATCTCAATCAGAACCCAAACATTTAAAAGAAACATATACATGTAAATGGTGATTGTAGGTACCTGCGTTCCTTCCCAAAGTCGTTCAATGCGACTATATTGCATGTCAAGGTCAACAAGATTTTTGAATTGAAAGTTGGATGGCAAAGATTTAAGGGGGGATCCATGCCAGTAGAGACACCTCAACTCACGAGAAAGAAACTTTAAGCGCCCAATCAGGTGTTGTTTGTCGTAAGAATGACTTATCCTGAGAAGTCTTAGTTGATTCATACTATCAAAAGCTTCAGCATTTAGGCATACCTCATCTGAGATCGACAAATCCAGGATTATGCTTTCAACTGCTTCTGTACCCTGTGCAAATCAAAGTGAAGGAAAAACAGAGAGGTTTAGATTATGAAGTTAATGCTTGTTTCTTAAGGAACCATTTTATAATCATTTCGTTTTCAATTTTTAACTTTTGTTTTAATTATTTTGTTATAGAAATCTGAAAATTAAAAGCACATAACTTGTTTGATAATCATTCTCAAACAAAAATTATTTTATAAAATGTTTGTTTCTTCTCAAAAAAAAAAAAAAAATCATTCTCAATTTTCAATTATTAAAAAAAAAATCAAAACTAAAAATTAAAATTGTAAACAAAAATAATTACCAAACCGGCCTAAGAAATAAATTTTGGTCAAAAGTTGAAGCTTTCTACTAAACATTGCATAAGAAAATGATTTCTCACCGTATTTTGAGTTAGCACATGATGAACATCTCCATAACTCCACAACCTGCTTCGTCTCCCTGGCTCTTTGATAGATTCTTGGCGAACTATTTCCCGACCCATTTCCTGTAGTGAATCATGCATCTCCAGTTCCCCCCTCCATGAGACAGTTATGAGAGCTCGATCAATTAGAACTCTTATACCACTATGAGGATAGAAACCACAACCATCCATAATTTCAATTGCATAGTTTTTTTGCATTCCTTTAAAGAAACATGCAATATCTAGAAAGATGTCCTTCTCTGTGTCATCTAGTCCATCGTAGCTTGTTTTAAGCACATCATGAATTTCCCTTTGTGGGATTTTCCTTATTTTTTCTAACACATCTTTCCACTCGCGTATAGTTTTGTTATCAAGAAAAGCTCCCAAAACTTTGAGTGCTAAAGGCAGACCCTGAGCATATTGTATGACACGCCTCGAAAGATTATCATAATCTTTGGTGGATTGCTTTGTTCTGAAGGCGTACCGCCTAAAGAGTTCTAGAGCTCCAGCATCATTGAAAACCTTGGGGCTATATATTGCATTAGCTCCGCTTAGTAATTGCACATCTCTAGTTGTTATAATGATTCTACTTCCCCCACCAAAAGAATGTTCCTTTCCGAGTAAGGCTTCAATTTGAGCTAATTTGTCAACATCATCAACAACAAGAAGAAGTTTTTTGTGACCAAGGTTTTTTAACATCACCTGGAAACCATTTTTCGATATGTCGGAACTCCCCACCTTGTTGCCCGAGATACTAGATAGAAGTTGTGTCTGCATATGTAGTTCGCCATGCTTCATGAAACCCTCCTTGACATTTTCAAGAAAACAACATGCTTCAAATTGACAAGCGGTTTTGTTGTAAACAGCTCTAGCGATGGTTGTTTTGCCTAAACCACCCATACCCCATATTCCTACAATGCGAACATCATCCAACTCCACCCCAGGAGGATCAGGATGTAATCGTAAATGCATTTCATGAATATGAGAATCCATTTCAACCAAGTCATTATCTTTGCATGGTGTTGATGAGATGTGCCTCAATTTTCTCAAAACATCTTCCACAATTTCCTCAATAAGCTTTGCATCCTCCCTGTCAAATTCAAAAAATAAATAAATAAATAAATAAACAACCAATAAAGAACAACACCAAATAACAAGTTTTCATCTGCTAGTTTCCAAAAAAAAAAATGAAAAATGCAAACTAAAAACTTAAAACAATAACCCCTAAACCCTACAAAAATCTCAAAATTAATAGGAAACTAAAACAAATTAGAATTTACTCATAGTTTCGCGAATCCCAGCCAGATAAACTGGTGGCAATTGTAAGAGCGGATCTCCAGCTCTGAACCTCTTCCATTTCAGCGTTAGAATCGTGATCGTGCTGAGCAAAAGCTTCCGCGAATCTTCCCTTGAGTTTACGAACATCAGACGGATCAACTTCGTAGAAAATGGGGAGTACAATCTGGTTCTTGGTATCCTTGCATTCCAAGATTTCCACGAGTTCTTTCAAGCACCAAGTGGAAGAAGCATAGTTTTGAGAGAAAACAACAATCGAAAGCCTTGACTCTCGAATCGCTGTCAGGAGCTCGGAAAGGCGGTCGCCCTTTCTGAGCTCTTGGGCATCGATGAAGGTGTTGATTGGTTTCTGACGCAGAGCTCTGTAAAGATGGCTGACGAAGCCCTTGCGAGTGTCTTCCCCTCTGAAATTGATGAACACATCGTGTTTCCATTGACGGCCAAAAGAAGAAGAAGCAGCCATTGATCGGGCAGCTAAGATGAAGAGGAATTTAAGAACAGAAAGACTCGATTGACCTGCAAATTGGAGGAAAAGGGAAAGAGGAAAGGAATGCTTTATGTTTTTCGCATCTTCGAAGAAACAACGGTGTCGGTCAAAAAGAGATGCTCAAATTTCATTTTGTTATAATAAGACCCAGGCCCATGAGTATTCACTATCCGATGATAATTCTCCCGTCTTATCTTAATAATTTGCACAATACATATAAATTGTTACGCATAATATCTATTTATAACATCATTTGTACCATTTTTTTAATAGAAGTAGTATCCGTCAATGCACGTAGATCTCATTTGTATTAAAAAGATGATACAAATGATGGTATAAGAGTTCATTTGGGTTGCTGTGCTGTAAAAAAACATTGTTTTTAGAAGTAGAGGTAGAGCTGCTTCTGCTATTCTGGATCCATAAATTTAACAAAAAACACTTTTAAAATAATTTCAACAACGTCAAACCAGCCCTAAATAGATGGTAATAGCATTTTTGTTTAAGATGACTCTTTCATACGCATTTCTTTTGTCTAATTTTTAAAAATTACCTATCATATTGTAGTAAATTTAAAATTTGGTACCAAATTATAATTTTATTGCAGAGATCGTTTTTCTGGTTGTTCAAAGTTCGAATGGGGGTGGTGATGGAGAAAGAAGTGGAGATGGAGATAGAGGTGGTTGCTCGGATGGCAGGGGAATAACAAGATGAACACTTTTTTTTATCAATAATTTATTTTTTCCAAAGTAATAATTAATTAATTTTTTTCCACGTGGTGCAAAAGTGTCAGCCTCATCAGTACAAATATGAACCCATATTTGCAAATCATTATTTAACAGTCAATTTAACAAAATTTCTAACGGATGTATGATATTGAAATGAAATGATAAGTAATGTATGACACTGAAATGTTTTCAAGATGTTGTAAGCGGTTGCAATTAACCTTAACCTTGATGAGGTAAAACGCAATTTACTCTGGATTTTATGTACTAGATACTGCTATTCATACATTGAAATCTTAGATTATACAACTTTACAAACAAATGATCACGCAAGTGACTATGAACACAAAAGAAGGTAAGAAAACGTTACGGCAGGTCCGGGAAAACTTCCTCCAAGAAATTGATGAAACGCTTAGCGTACAGCTCCGGTTCGACAGCAGAAATGCGTTGAGGCCCTTGAGGGTCAATATTCTTGAACGATTTGTAAGCATGCTCGAGTTTCTTTTTCGCATTGTATTCCTGCAGTATGTCGATTATCCCCATATAAAGAACCACGTCATAGAATTCAAAGAGTTCTACTTCTGTTGAATCGACCTCTTCCTGCGCAGGCTTACGTTTGGCCTGGGCCGGCATGTTTACGCCTAATTGCACCCTTAACCTGAGAAAGATTCAGCTGACAGTAACTATGTGCTGCTCGAACAATGAATGAAACACCGAATCCAACAACAGTTTTCGAGCAATGAATTTCTATGTTTTCAGCAATCTAATTACCGTTGCTTGACTGTGCTACTAAGTTACTCGCATAAGCATAACTATCCAAATCAGATGAAAGTTGATTAGAAGGTTAGGCCGCATATCATGAATCTTTTAGGGTGTCGTTTCACTCATACCAAGGTAACAGAAGATCCGAATGCTTATGGCATCAAACTTCAAAATATATCAGAGCGCAAAAGTGCGAATAGTAAGTATAAAAGTACAAACAATAGAAGTACCTTCCTGTACCAGGGAGTAAGAGATCGACTTCTTTGTCACCGAGAGAATAAGCTTTCAACGGACTTCCTCTGATGTGAGGACCTGGTGCAGTACTGACAGAGCCAGGTTCATGGGTTACCAGTAGAAGACCTTTAGGAGGAATCACAAGCTCCCCTTGCAAAGTCACACCTATTCAAATTGGAATATAAGTTCAAATATGAAATACGTAAATGCGAGGAGATAAGGGAATTCAGTTGGTATTAAAAGCTTGGCTGGAGGGAATTCCATTCAATGTCATTTTCATTATGTTTCTTTCCCATTTCTTCATTCTTCCAAGTGCGTGCCATTTCGAAATTATGAAAATCAAGATTCTAAAATGCGATAGGCGCTAGTTGGCCGCCTAGATGTCAATAACATGGTAAGGATAAATGTTCCACCCCCTTAGTGGCGTGAGGATGTTCCAAATCCCAAAATGTCGACCAATACTAAAGTCTGTTTGCCCAAATTTTAAATTGTAATAAGAACTAGGCCAGTTGCCGAGTTGTCATTAATTGCTCAGATTTTCTTTTCCTACAGTCCTTTTTCTGCATTTATTCTGAGTGTATGACTTTACTGTTTCCAGGGAAAGAAATCATTAATTGGAAAACTATTTGCATCACCAAATAGAAAAGAAATCAGAACATACGTAAAACAAATACAAGTTCATTTGAAAAGTATTTGTAATCAGAAAGAGATGCTTACCATCATCAGCAGGTAAACTCTCATGGTTGTGCATTGTAGGAGGAGGTTGTGAAAATCCCTTCAGATCCTCGGGAGCTCTAAAATGTAGACCCAACAGAAGGCTATAATCGATAATTTGCTGAGATTGTAGAAACATGCAGTCTAGTGATATTTGTCTGCAAAACAAAGAGGAGGAAAGATTCCAAGAGATTATAAAATGTAGAAGAGCTTACTCAGCCAATTCTTATTAACATTCTCATTTGGGGGACACATGCATAATCGATAAGCAGCAAATCTATGAAATGTGAACACACAATGTATTATTGAGTGTAGATCTACATATAGCGTTAAGACTTCGTAAGAATATCAAGCTTGTTACCGGAAGAACAAAATATAGTACTGAAAAGTAGTGTTATAAATGAAAACAACAACATAAATTGCAGAAACGTAAGAGAATTTTTATATCAAATCCATTTTGATCGGAATTCTAAAATTGACTTAAAGCTTATTGAACTGACTAATAGCATTTGGAACATGTTTTACGTTTCCTGTCTTAACATTGAAAGTAAATAAACTAATCAACCACAGGAGATTTGAAGCATTTTAACTTACAAATCAACAAGGCAAAGAATTGATTTCCAGGGACTACACAATTTCCATGTACCAAGATGCATGATACAAATTTACCGGTGAGGTTGAAATATCCCTCCAACCGGCTTGGCTCTTCCTCAAGGCAAGCTTTACAGGTCAAAATCCAAAGATAGGATGCAGAGGACTGGAAGAAGAAACTAATGCAGGACATATATCTAAGGGTTAGATTCTATTGCAAGTGGTTTTGGAGAATTAGACCTCGGACCGAGTATGTTATATTGCATAAGTTTATTAATCTTATGATCAATGAAGTTATTCCAGAGAGATTGTAACCGAAAAAAAAGTTATTCCAGAAGGATGCTTAAGCAATGAAAATCACTCACAGGTAATCACTAATACCTTTTCTAAAACGTAATAAATGAAATTAAAAAAACCGCAACAAATAAAAACTCACAAGGACTTACTTAAAAAGTCCTCCTCGCAACAGTTTGTCCATATGAAATTCAAATTTCAGATCGAGATCTTTCAATGTGGTATTCCCATCAATTTTATCTTTGTCCGTACATCTTCCAATAGTTGAACCCTTCAAATCATAACGGCGATGAATTCGTAATTCAGTGCAAAACATATTCCCCATGACCATAAACCGTACCTAAAAACAATGCATTTAGAATAAGTCACACCAACCGAGGCGACATCCAATGAAGAACTGCAATCTGGTAGAGTGATAAGTTGCTCAATACCTTTTTTCCACCCTTTAACGTTATCCGATGGAGCCCAAAAATTTTTGTGATGAGAGTGTTTTCATGTTCGTCTACATGGCTATAATATCTAGGCAGCATCTTCAGCATAACCTGCATATGAATTGGGAAAAAGAAAATGATTCATAATTCCTTTCAACATCCTTCCCAAACTTGGATGAGATAAGTTAGTTGCCGAAGATAAAGCTAAAAATAAAATTGAGAAAAGCAAAATCTAAGTCCTCATATGGAGCTGATTGATCATTCTGTTCGAGTACGAAGCAAAAGGAATATAAAGGGTAATTAAACGGCTTGGCACGACAGGAATTTTGAGTACAAAGAAGTTATCGTGCGTGTGTATGTAGCGTAGAAGTTTGCGTGAGTTCAAACCTTCAGTTCAGTTTTTCTTAAAGTCTTGATGAAAAATCTATCATCATGAGAAATATAGAAAATACTGCCACTTTTCCCCGGAGAAGAAATCTCTCGTAAACCATTGTCACCACAAATGGACATCATGTACTCTGCTGCATCTAATTTAAACATCTCCCTTAAATTCCTGAAATGCGAAAGTTTCATCAGGCAGAAAGAGATCCAATTGCTTATTTGCACAGATACAGCGGAAACATAAACTTGCAACGATACATTGTCCATATTGTTAAGACATGTATGACTCCAATTAAACTTGAACTTATTTGAATACGACTCCAATTAAACAAGAGATTAAGTCGAAATATAAATGAATCAAATTTACAGATTTAACAGAAACAGCATCATTTTTAAAGTTACATATCTGCAGATTCTCCACAAATATCACAATTATGGAGGCCAACCATTTAAATCCAGGTACAACAAGCACATTACCAAAGGGAAATAAGTTGATTAGGCCTTCTCGTGATAGAGCTATTATCTGCTAGTCTATTTTTAGTGCTTCAAAATACTTGAGCTTAGCTATTAGGACATGGACCGATAATAGTTGAATTTCAAAGCAGTAACCCGCATGTGGGAACCCAAACTCCCCCTCCATAGGTAACATCTTCAATTGTTCGTTACTATTATTCCCAAACGCTTAACCTATTAGAGGTTGAACCAACACCCGACAATTATTCTACACTCTGTAAGTGTGCAAGCAAGCTCGAATATAAGGGCTAATTGGTACTTCCGAGGCCAGGAAATCATTAAGTGTAGGTAGCATCCTATACTTACCTTATTCATGCGCATAAACCAGTACTAAAAGCTCTGCTAAAATCCACTGTGATGGAGGAGGCTAGTGCTATGTTACAAATAGTGGGAAGTTTCATTGTTTTTCATTAGTCCTAGAAATCAATGTAATTCACTCAAATAAATTTAAAAGTGGTCAGGTGTTGGTGATGGACAGTAAAGAAAAA